ACCTCTGAGACCAAATGAGGTGACAGAGCTTGTTTTCTGGGAAAGGCAGGCCAGTATGCTGAGATGATATTACCAGTGACCATGTCAGGTCATTACTCAAAGCACTTATTGTCCATTGTGCTATCTGAGCTTCCCAGTGCTTCACTCTGAGGCTGAACACTGAATATCAGGTGACCACACCCTAGGGTTTAACATAGTGAGCTGGGAATGTTTTTTTTTTTTTTTTTTTTTTTTTTTCCTCTCCACAAATACACTTTGAACAGCAACTTGACCCACCTTTGCCAGAAAACAAGCTGGGATGAACTGCACTTGGGATCTGTGGTCCATTTTTAGTTTGTCTTCACACTGTATGTACAAGTTTCCAGGATGTCCAGTTCTAAAGCCCTTTTCCATTGAATGTTTACACCCTTTCAAAGCTTAATTGGGCTAGGCATGGTGGCTGACACCTACAGTCCAGCTCTAGGGAAGGCTCAGGCAAGCAGGAAGATCACAGTTTGACGACAGCCTGTATCTTCAAAGGCTATCAAGTAAGACTGTCTTTTAAAAATAATAACCAAAATAATAATAATAATAACCAAAGAAAAGCTTAATTGGCCTTATCTGTGCTTCTTTATTCTTGGAGTCTGTATTGTTTGTATATTGGTGGGTTGTTCATCTGCTGGTACTCGTAGAGGGTTTTTGTGTCCATCTCATGGTAGTTAACGGCCTGTGTCTTTGTCTGGCTTTAGTATTGGGATGATGCTGACCTAGGACAAGTTAGGATGTCCGCCCTCTTTGGTTTCTAGAAGGATTTGTGTAGAATCAATGTTGTTTCCTAGTTTAAATGTTTGATGTATTCATCAGTGAAGTTTCTATTCACTAGAGTTGCCACTGTAAAGAACCAGCTCTTCCTGGGGCTTCCAGGTGGGAAGAAGGGCTAAGATGATGCGGGGACATGAACTAAAAAGAGGTATTTGGTCCAGGCAGAGCGGCCTAAGAGCTACTTCATGATGGGCTGTGGTCCCCATAGGTACTGTCTCTGGATACAAACATCACAAATGAGGTGGATAAGCTGAACAGAGACCTACTTCGCCTGGTAGGTGTGGGTGAATTCTCTGAGGAGGCCCAGTTCAGAGACCCCTGCCACTCCTATGTGCTCCCTGAGGTGATCTGCCACAGCTGCAATTTCTGCCGAGACCTGGACCTATGTAAACATTCCTCTTTCTCTCAGGTGAGCTCAGCTGATGATCAGAACCTCTAAATGTAGAGTGGTTGGAACACATAGTTCAACCTGTAGTCTCCAACCTGAGTATATAACCTATAATATACTGCCCCAGTGACTCGTTCATGAATTAAAAACAGGCCACCCATAAGCCACTCTCCTGCAGCATGCTAGAAAAGGTCTGGTCAGCACAAATGAAAGGCTCAGGCTGTGCGGAATGCAGCCATGAGCAGTGATGGTTACCTTTGCCTTAGCACTCCTCTGACATTTTCCCTTTACACCAGCCCTCTGTGCTATTGCCCAGGTGGTCCATGGCTACCACTTACACTGACTTCTCAGCCTTTCTCCCCACTCTCCCAGGATGGGGCTATCCTGCCTCAGTGGCTCTGCTCCAATTGTCAGTCCCCCTACGATTCAGCTGCCATTGAATCAGCCTTGGTGGAAGCCCTGCAGAGGAAGTTGATGGCCTTTACACTTCAGGACCTGGTGAGCTTCCCAGTACACCCAGGAGTTTCCAAACACTATCAGCATTTCAGGATTTCAGGGAGGCCAAGATCATTCTTAGGTCCTGAGTCTTGCCTCCAAGGAACTTCCCAGGAATCAGTCCTCATCCATGCACCTAGCATACTCATTCTGTCACCATCTATTGGTACCTTCTGGGAGCACTTTCGTCCATCCAGTGGAGGGAGATACGCAATAGTCAGTAAAAAGTATCAGTGGTAGAGTGCAAGATGAGAGCAGAGAAAGCTTCAGCAGTAGTTTATGAGTGCCTGAGCAAAGTCCTTAGGTATATCCCTGGGCAACTATTAGGACAGAGCCTTGTGGGACATGGGATACTCCCAGGCCTTAGTAGATCAGATTGGAGATACCCATAGCAAGGTGGGCATCTTGGGAAAGGAGCTAGCAAGATTTGAATAAATCTTGAATTTCATCAAGGTGCTTAGTCCTGACGTGACTGCAGCAGGGAAATAAATTTGCCAGTAGTTCCATGGAGGTATCCTTCCTCAACTAGGCTGAAAAGCTGCTGATAGGATCCAGTATGATGACAGTTTGAGCCAAGATCAATATTGCTGCTTCCTTGTTTCAGGTATGCCTGAAGTGCCATGGTATGAAAGAGACCCATATGCCTGTGTACTGCAGCTGTGCAGGGGACTTTGTTCTCACCATCCACACTGAGGTGGGCCATTCTCACAGACACACTCTGGGTCATCTGTCCCTTCTGTCTTGAGTAGAGTCATTGTGTCTCTTTGTTCCTACAGGTCTTCATGGAACAGATTAGAATCTTCCAGAACATTGCCAAGCACTACAGCATGTCATACCTCCAGGAGACCATAGAATGGCTGCTACAGACAAGCCCTTTATCAAACTGTTAGCAAGCCTGGGCTGAAGACACCTTGGTATCCCAATCTTAATGCCTGTTCTAAATGGATGAACCACTGACCACCTGGCTTTTCCAAACTCATGACCACAGGCTGGGAAGAACAGAGAGAATGCTTCAGGGAGCTTTAAGGCGACATCAACAAGCAGGAACAGAGAATGGCTCTGTCCTCAGTAGTTAGCTGCTAAATAAAACATGTTTTTGAAGCTTCTGCTTCCTCCTTCCATACAAGTTGTCCTGCCTCCTGTTTGAACATGAGATAGGTTCTAAAATGAAGTTGGGGGATGTAGGCAGAAGAGATACAGAAGCCAGTGCAAAACCCTGATCATGCCAGTCTTATTTTTTAGACAAATGGTCCTTTCCCTCAGCTTCTTGAGAGTAGAATTTGGGCTGCTTTCTGGGAAATCCAGGTCCTAAACATGTGGAGACCCAAGGTTTTTTGCTTCAGAGAAGAGTCTGAAAAGTTATCTGTCACCCAGTGTCTTTTGTTTTTATTTTTTAGATTTATTTATTTTATTATGTATATAATATTCTGCCTGTATGTATACCTGAACACCAAAAGAGGGCACCAGATCTCATAGATGGTTATGAGCCATCATGTGGTTGTTGGGAATTGAACTCAGGAACTCGGGAAGAATTTCTCCAGCCCTTCTCCCCACCCCTTTTTTTTTTTCCACCCAGTGTCTTAAGTGAAACATGGAGTTGGGCTGTCCAAGGGCTGGGCTGAGACAAGCCAGAAAGGTAGAACATCCCTGACCTGCCTAGTCTATGTAGAATACCCACTCTATCCACCTCTGTCTACCAGGACTATATATAGCAAGGACTTCTTAAGCCTGAGGCCCACAAGTAAAGGGTTTTTAAGTGTCATTTAATCATGGACTTTAATGCCCTGTATAAGACTTAGATTTTAGAAAAATGCCCTCTCACATGTAAGATTTTAGGCTTCGCTGTTGAAGAAACAAGGAAAAATGAAAGAGAGTGCCAATGTGAGGGTTCAGGGGAGATATGTTGAGGGCTGGTACTCAGTCACCACTTTCCTCAGGACATCAGAGACCCAGAGCACTGAAGCTGCCATCCTCTTAAAGGGGCAACTTAATCTCCAGCCTTTTTAATATGATGCTCTTCAGCACTTCGAGTGGTGGAATAAGTAGCCGTTCTCACCTACTGGGTACTGGCACTGACCCTTCTGCTAGGTGAGCAGAACCACCATTCACTGGTCTCGGGAAGTAATAGAACTCCTGCACTCACTGAGCTAAATGCAGCCCTTGTCTACTGCCTCTTTCTGGCCTAGGCTAGTTTACCAGGGCAGCAGCCAAGTAAATTACTGAATTTAAGCGCATGAGTATTTTGCCCACATGTATGTGTATGCACCATGTGTGTGCCTGGTACCCACAGAGGTCAGAAGAGATGGATCCCCCTGGAACTCAAGTTACAGATGGTCAGCCACCATGTGGGTGTTGGGAACCAAATTCCGATCCTCTGAAAGACGTACAAGTGCTCGTAACTACTTAATCACTTCTCCCTATAGTTTCCACTTCTTAGTTTTACTATTTTGTATTTGTATAGGGAGCTTCAGTCTCTGAAAGGGAAGTTTAATATCTATCCATCAGGCACTTGTCTGAACCTTGATGAGCTCAGGCTGTCTTCAGGGAGAAACCTGATACCTGCTTGATCCTCCCTGTTTGGAATGTGGATTGAGCTGGCTGGGACTTGCTGAATGGAGATCAAATCAAATTAGAGATAATGGGGAAGGAGGGAGCTGGTTAACTTAGCTTCCTGGATTTCTGGGCCCAAGAGGCATTGGCTGTCTCCCAGCAGAGCTGATGGACAGCAGCAGCACAGGCTAAGTCACTGCAGCCACAGATACCACTCATCCTGGGTTCCCTCAGAGGTCAGTTTAGGGATTTTGAGAAAGAAAACTGCCTCTCTGGCCCTAGTTTCTAAGCTGTAGCCAGAGACAAAACTGGAAAGTTGTCTAAAACTAGAGCTGGACATCTAAACCAGACACGGGGAAAGTTAAACATTTTGTGGCCTGTGGAGGCCATGACTAAAAAAGGGAAGGCTCTGGGGTTATCAAGAGCTAGTGTTTTTCCAAGCATCCTATAAATACTTGGTGTGACAACTAGGGGCGCACACAAGCATGCCATCGTGAGGCAATGTGGGCAGAGACTGAAGGGTCCCCTTCCTAATTCTTTAGCCACTGCCACTTGGTGTACTGGTCTGAGCTAGGATACTTTCTGGTGGCACATACTCACCAGAGAACCAAGAACCAGGCTCCCAACAGTCTGCCTAGCCAGGATCACTCTACTAAGAGCAAAGGTGCAGTAACTAGTTCCCCTGGGAAGGAGACTGACTCTCCTGCCTTATATTCCTGAGCACATGGCTGCTCTCAAAGAATTGAGGCCACAATTGAGGCTCATCGCTGTTTTATTGGACTCAGCATGCTGTGGCTTCTAAAGCAGGGCTTAAATGATACAACAGGACGACTTAGCTCTGATTTGGGATCCCAGAAGGCTGTGTGAGAGTACAAGAGGGGGGATCCTATGAGGAATTCAGTTGGGAAAGGAGATAGCAGGAATCCATGTATCCCCATAAGCCTTGGGGAAAAGAAGAATGTAAGCATAGGCTAGAGCAAGGCGCTTGTCCTCTTGCACAGGTGTGTCTTACTTCCCAGTCACATGGACAAGCTTGATTACTGAAGAATACAGATCTTCCCTAGGGCTGCCAAAGCAGCTGAAGCATCTCTGCCCTCCCAGATCCATGTCTGTAACTTAGTGAGGATGAGATCAGAGTTGGGCCAAACCTTTGGGGTCCGTGGATTTGGAGTCCTGTTGGGAAGGCCCCATATGCTGGTCAAGAGTGTCCACCATCTGCTCAGTTGGAGCAAGGCCGAGGAGACTGGAGAGCCAGTGGTAGCTCTGCCCTTTCTCCCAACGTTGGATGTCTACCTGCTCGAGGGCTGGTTGGCCGATCCTGGGAGTAGTGACTAGGTGGGGGAGGGACCTGGCCCAAGACAAGGGCAAGGGTCACAGGCCATCTACTTGAGGGATGCTTTGGAGTACACACCTTGTCGAACTTCTTATGGCTGTAGAGCTCATCTTGGTTCATGAATGTTAACAGAATCCAGTCACACAGAAAGGAGCCCTGAAGTCAGCAGATACCACTGGGTAAGGGCATATCAGACACCCCCAACCCCTCCTAGACCCCAAGTGGATTTCTTACCACCCCGATGGAGGTCAGAGCAGTGGCCAGATTGATGATGGTGGGGATGAGACTGAATTTCCCTGCCTGTAGGAAACAGGCTTGCATTTAGTTAGACATTCAGCATAGGCTGCTTGTGGCAGAAGTGGAGCCTGAGGGTGGGGTGCAGAAAGAGACATGGAGCTAGCTCAGGTCTAGGTGGAACCCTTCAGCTGTACCTGTCCATGCACGATAACATCGATTCGAATCCCATAGGCTTTGATGAGAGTTCGAGCGACGGTGGTACTGTTTATCTTGTAATACTTGGCAAACCTAGGGTTGGGTGAAGCAAAGCAGTGTCCAAGCTGTCAGACTGAGGACTGTGGTGTTTGTACAAACTCATCTTCCTCTCCTTAGGACCCCTATAGTCAAAGCAGACACCACTGTCTATGTTATGGGCCCAGACATTAGGAGAACAAGGTACCTGAAGTTGTACCCTGAGGAGGCGGGGTTATGCTTGGGGTCGAGCCTCCTGAAAGAGTATTTGGGGTTGCACTTTGATTCAGACAGGTCCAGGTCACAGTTCCAGTTGATGATGACTCCAATGACACCACCCTGCAGAAAAGTGAGCCAAGGAGAGTTGAGAAGCATAGAGCAGAAAAACTTCAAGGGGTAGGGTTCAGCTCAGAGCCAAAGGTCCAAGGAACAAGTGAATGTCTGGCTTTGAAAGCGTGTGGTACTAGCACCAGCCATGGGACCAGGTGTCAATAATTGAGCAGGTGCATGCAAGGACCGTGATCACATTTCTCCCCTCTGCCTAAACACAGCCAAAACTGGCCACGACAGAGAAGTACATCTAGTTGCAGTGAAACCTTTCTTAGGTAGCAGATACTGGCACAAGCTTCACCCCCGCCTCTCTCTGTCTCTCTCTCTTTCACACACACACACCTTGTGTGCCAGTTCTGTGAAGTTCTCCCCTGCCTGTTCTACGATGAAGCCCAGCTTGAAGATGGGACAGTACGGGTCAGAGTCCTGATCAAATGTGCAGTGCTTCAGGTAGTCATTCTTGAGGCTTGCGATGTTGCCCCTAAGGAGTAGCAGAGGACACAAGGCCTGTCTAAAAACCCGGATCCCGGCACAAGCCTACAGTCTGGGCAGGCATTATATTTGATCTTACTCTGCCCCTCAGACTTACTTGGAGAACTTGAACTTGGGGTAGTGGATGCTGTTCTTGATGAGGATGGTGAAATTTGGGGCCATTTTACCCAGAAAATGGCTGCAGAGGTACAGAGAGGGGTTTAGTCTTCCTTCCCCTAAAGCCCAGGGGCGGGGGCGGGGGCGGGGATTAGGGGAGAAAAGACGACGGAAAGAAGGGAGGAGACTGGCAATGGCGTCTGTGGGTCCTGCATACTTGTCAGAAGTTCCATCCTCCACCGGGCACCAGGCTGACACCTCGCAGGTCTTGAAGTTCCCATGGTAATAGGGGACACAGTGCCCTGTCCGAATCCCTGCAGGGCAGACACTGGTTAACCCGCCGAGGTCAGTGCTAACCCCACCTTTCCCGCTGTCCCTGGTGGACACTGACCATTGCCTTTCATGTTCGGGTGCCCCGCCACGCAGTCGTCATCTGAATGGCAGGAGGAACTGTGAACCCTTATGCTCTAGAGCGGAGACTGTAGGTCAGAGGGCAGACGGTAACAGGCCCAGGTGTGCCCAGACCACCCTTGACCCACCTCACCTCTGGGCAGGTTCCCAGGGTCTGGGAAGGGGTGACCTCGATCCTGGTGATGATGCTGACCACACTGCCCCCCTGGGTGCAGAAATAAAGGCGCGGTGGGCTGGTCAGCTCACTCAGACTAGTCACACCGCAGAGGAGTACCGGGCCTGGGGCAGGAAGCGCCGCACCTCCGGGGGCCTGACGTATTCCTCCACGTCCCACACTTTGTCTTCCGACATGGTGATCCCCTTGACTTTGGTGATGATGGAGCTCTCCGGACCGGTCTCGCTCTCCTGGTAGCTTTTCTGCACGAGGAATACGTACCTGTGGGACAGGGCGGTGCCGGCTCCGGAGGCAACTCTGGAGAGACCAGGACACCCCTCTCCTGGTGCCCTTATGGGCGCCCGCGCATGCCCCCAGCTGAGGATCCCCTTCCGCCCGATTGCCCACAGTGCCCCGGCCCGCGCACCACACGAAGTAAATCAGAATGAGCAGCTGCACCGTGCGGTGAAAGAATCCCAGGGGCCGGTTCCGCACCACGATCACTTTGGGCGTCTCGTAGTCCCAGAACGAGGACCAGCAGCTCCGGGCCCAGCGCTGGACCATGGCCGCCCCCGGGGAAAGCTGGGGCTGTGCAGCGGCCATGGCCCAAGGAGCTCGGTCCACCAGAGCGGCAGGGGCGCCTCACACCCGCAGCTCTCCTGAGCAGGCTGGGGGTGTGGCCTCGCTCCCCGCCCATTGTGACAGTGGTAGTCTAGTCCCTTTTCTAAGCTGATGGACTTGTAAATACAGGTCTCCCTGAAGGCTGCAGGTACGGCCGGCTCAGAGCGCAGCCTGGTGGTTGGTGGGTCGCAGCGCCGGCTTGGTAACAAGGAGGGCGGAGAGGCCAGGCCAGCCTGGGGTGGGCGCCTCGAGAGCACTGGGAGAGAGCTGCCCTTCTCTTGTCTGCTCCACACTTGAGGCTCAGGACAGGACCCCCGCGGCGGGCTCACGGTACCCCAGGTTCCTCACAACAGACGCACAAGGGCGCAAAGCTCCAACCCTCATTCCTGCACGGAACAGCCCGGCATTGCGGTGTAAATTCCATTTTCCACTCCACTCTTGCAAACCAAAATTGTTTCCTGGAACCTGATTAGGTGACTCTCCTGCGCCCAGGATATTTGAAGCAAATACCGAACATCTTAGTAGGTCACAGAGAGATGATTTTAAGCTGTCTTCTTTTATGGAAATAAGATGCATTTAGCATGTAAACGGTCCAGTGAGTGTAGTCCATGCTGAATGTTGTGCGGTTCCCTTCACTGGACAACAGCAACAACAAAACAAACAAAACCCCACGTTCTCCACCCCAAAATGAAGCCCCTCCCCATGAAGCAGCTGTTCCTGTTCCCCCTCCTAAGCTCTACGTCACAGTAGTCGTCATGTCTCCATGAGTTTTTCTGTGAAATACAACTTACACCTGGCTTTATCGTGTCTCCAATATCCACCCACATACTGTTGGGGAAACGTGCATATTTGAACTATTTGATTAAACCTGACCAGTGCCTAGGTAGCAAAGGCAATCAAATATAGAGAAAAAAAAAACTGAACGCATAATTTTAGAGAATATTTTGTAACAAAAGGTTGGGTCTAAGCCCATCTCAGATTGCAGATTGCCCAGATCCCTTCCAGACAGGACCTCCCGCCTGAAATCACCAAGATGATGATTATATCCCTCCTGTTTTCCACCAAGGACCTCCACTGATCTTGGTGCCATGATTTGTGAGTCCTCCTTTTTTAGCTAAACCCTGATTTAATTTGCCTAAGCCTGATCATGGTGATGCAAAAAACGTAATCTCACCACTTGGAAGTCTGAGACAGGAGAATTAATTGTAAGTACCTGACCCTAAAGAGGTAACAGGGAGTTCTGGAGCTATATATACCTCAGGATAGCTCAAGGGTGGGGCACTTGCCTAATGTTTGTGAGCCCTTGGGTTCAGTCCCCATCCCCCACCCCGCCCCCACACAAAAGCAAAAATCTCAAGTGGATGAACAGCCCACACATGGCAGAAGCACTGAGTAAATGAGAACAAACTGAGACTATTATTCAGAGGTGGAGTCAGCACCGGACATGAGCACCCGACAGTATAAAGTGGAGCCGGGAAGCGGAGACTCTAGGTGCCTAAGGAATTGTTGTCCTGGGGAGGGGTGGGTGGCCCACAATGGGCCAGTGTCCTACACTGGCTGTGTTGGGCTCTTAATGGTTAGTCCTGACTTGGAACGGAAGCAAAAGGCAGGGAAACGGTGGTGGGGGGCAAGTCCAAGCTTAGAGGTCCTATGCTGAGGGCGGGACAGGAAGCAGGAAGCAGAGAGTGAAGTTACAGCTCAGAGATTAGAGGGCTGTTTCCTTGGCTAATTTGTAAACCTCTACTTAATCTGTGCTAGAAACTGCAGTTTGGCTGGTCTCACAGAGGAGCAAGAGGATCTGAAGCAAGGAGGTAGGGCCACTGGGTATTCAGCAGTCCCCAAAACCACCTTTTTACTCCCTGGAATAAGTCATATTTGCCTGTCCTGGTACCTGACAAGGAAACAGGAAACAGTATAGTTTCTGGGTCTACCTATTGGCTGCAGTCATCCCTTTTCCCTCAAAACAGTGAAAAGTTAATTGTGAAACAGCTTCTTCTGGGACAATGCAGGCCTAAAAACCCTGTTTCATATAATGTGAATAATATAATATGGAGTAGGCATAGCCTTATCTCAAGAGTCACCACAAAGCCCTCCACCCCCCACAGAGCATATTTTCTCATCAAACAGTGGCTGTCTAGACCCTGACACCACTCTACCGTCTGTCTCCATGGAGTTGGCAACTCCAGGGCGCTCATGTAAATGGAGTACAACATTATTTGGCCTCTGTGACTAGCTGGCTTATTTAACATGGCGTCCTCAAGGCTTTCCTATGTTGTGGTATGTATGTATAGACCACATTCATTTTTCCTTTTATCAGTAGTCCTGTGTGATTAGTGTGGTGAACCCTGGTGAATTATGTCCTTTTACACCGGGCTTCTCATGGGAGGTAACAGAGTGTTCTTGGGAACTGGGCCTGTGAACTTGTTGGGACTTATAAGAAGGGTTGAAACAAAAATCTCTTCCTTGTTACAAGCACAAAAAAAGAACATAGTGAGTTTGAAATTCAAAAGTGTTCAGGTTATGGCTCAATTTATAACATAAGAAGCCTATTAGGCTACACGGAAAGAACACTTGCCGAATTTGTACAATAGCTGTGGCTCTGCTGTCTTGACTGGGGAAATGCTCCGTGCGCCAAATACCTAGTGGCAAGGGGCATCTGGGACCCTTGACTTGCTATGAAGGAAACAAGAGTGGTCTCCGGTCCTTTCCACCTTTCTACAACTGCTTCACTTGAAGCACTCAAAACAGGATTCTATCTGGAACTTGGACTAAGATCACAGCCAGCAGTCAGCCCCGCTCCTGTGGCTGGCAGACTCGACAGCAGGCAGTGACTGGGAACAGGAGAAGGCAGGGGCCAGGGGTCAGCATGGGAGATGTGGAGGTGTCTGCCATTCCTAACAAGAAGTACAAATGGTCTTGAATTGGGAGAGTGAGAGTAAATGAAAACCATGGGCGCTTGGGCTGGAGACTGGCTCAGCAGATAAGAGCACTGACTGCTGCTGTAGAGAACCCAGGGTTAGTACCCAGCGCCCACATGGTGGTTCACAATCATCCGTAGCTCCAGTTTTAGGAGATCCCATGCTCTCTCTGTATCAGGCAGGAATGCAGTACACGTGCACACCTAAATGCAGTCAAAACAAACACATATAAAAACAAAAATGAAAAAAAAAATCTTTAAAAACATAGAAGCTGAGATCTGATGGAGGTTCAACCTTCTGGAGTAGATGGTGGAAGGCTATGGTTGGCTCCTCCTGGGTTCCTCAGACTGTGGTCACAGCTCTGTGTTTTGTTGTTGCTGTTTATTTGTATGTATTTGTGTGTGTGTGTGTGTGTGTGTGTGTGTGTGTGGTGTGTGTGTGGTGTGTGTTCATGTGTATGCATGCCTGCAGAAGTTAGAGAACAACCTTGTATGTATCTTCTGCTGCTTTAAATACAGTCATCAGCCTAGCACTCGTCAGTTAGGCTGCTCTGGCTGGCCAGCAGCCACCAACGATCCTCCCCGGTGCTGGTATTACAAAAGCCTACAACTGCACCTGGCTCTATTTATATTTCATTATTTTAAATATGTGTGTGTATTTTAACTGCATGTGTACCATGTGTATGCCTGTTGTCTGCAGAGGGCAGAGTGGGCATGAAGTAACAGTGTAGCTGAAGTAACAGATGGTTGTGAACCATCATGTGGGTGCTGGGAAATGAACTCATGTCTTCTGAAAGAGCAGCAAGTGCTCTTAACCGCTGAGCCGTAGCTCCAACACCCCTTTTTTATTACATTTTATTTGGTGTGCATACATGTGGAGCAGCTTGTGTGGACATCGGAGGACAATGTGTGGGAACCGGTTTTCTCTCCCCACCATTTGGGTCCTGGGGATCAAACTCAGATCATAAGACTTGTAGGCAAGAGCCTATACCTGCTGAGCCATTCCACTACCCCCACATCTGGCTTTTTTTTACATGAATCTGGGGATTTAATTCAGGTCCTTGTGATTGCTCACAGCACTGTTGTTTTTTTCAAAATGTTTATTTTATTTTTGATTGTGTATATGTGACTCCATGTGTGTATGTTTATATGAGTACAGGTATCCAAGAGGCCCAGAAGAACTGCCTGATGTGGGTGCTGGGAACCAAACTTGGGTCCTATGCAAAAGCAACAATTACCCTTTACTGTTGAGCTATCTCTCCAGCCCCACAGGTCTGTTTTTACCCACAGGCTGGACCTGTATGTTTTGTTTCTCGGTACCAAATATGAAACACTGTGGAATCAGACAGTAGTTACTCTGTGAACCCTAACAAGATAAAGCCAGGAGGTTGTGATGGCAGCCATCTCAGAAGCCTCTGCCAGGACCACCAGCTGAACCATTGAGGAAGGTTAGTCGTGTTGTCAAAGATGTAGCTCCAGAGCTGGGAAATGGTGGTGCTCTTTAATCCTAGTATTGGGCAGGCAATCATATCTCTGAGTTCAAGGCTAGCCTGGTCTACATAGTGAATTCCAGGCTAGCCAGAGCTGCACAGTGAGAACCTGTCTCAACCAACCAACCAACCAAACAAGTTATTGTTTCAGGGAGGCAGGGGAGAAAAAAATAATTGTTTCAACATGTCTAATATAATACTCCTCAATTTTGTCTTTAAAATCTTCCACAGATGGCTGGAAAGGTAACTCAATAGAAGTATTTGTGGGCACTTAGGATTCCTGTAACCCATATAGTGGAAAGAGAGAACTGACTTCACAAAAATTATCCTTTTACCTCCACATACTTAATTTAAAAAAAAATCAATGAAATAAATTTCCAAGCCCTTGAACCTCCAGGAATATATCCACAGTTTACTTGGACACATGTATTCCTGGTACAATGCTGTCCATTCCAAATAAGTGCCAGTGTTTTTTGGAGGGTCTTTGAGGTTTTTGTTTTTTGTTTTTGAGATAGAGTAGCACTATGTAGCCATGGCTGTCCTGGATCTCCCTATGTAGACCAGGCTAGCCTTGAAGTCCATCTGCCTCTGCCTCCTGAGTGCTAGGATTAAAGGTATGTGCCTCCATGTCTGGCCCATCTTTGAGTACTTTTGACAGGGGGACTACCACTAAAATGATAAGACCTCAGGATGCTGATTATAAGCCACAGCTGTAAGACTGAACAGTAGAAAAGCCACCCCGACCCCCGAGTTTCTGGAAGGAACTGCTGATACCTTGATTGCATATGAACTTCTGGATCCAGAACTGTCAGAGAATAAATTCCTGTTATTCCGAGCCAAAAAATGAAAAGCCTTCCTTGGGGTCCAATGGGAACATACTTGGTAACCTCGTACCAAAAGAGAACCTTGAAGCTAGGCCCTGTGGCGTACACCTTTAGTTCCAGCACTCAGGTAGGCAGAGGCAGGGGATCTCTGTGAGTTTGAGGACAGCCTGGTCTACATAGAGAGTCTCTGTTTCAATGCCCACTCCCAAAAAGAGAGAACCTTAAATAAACATGGCAGAGTTTATTGGAGCAAAAAGTGACTTAGGGTTGGATAGCATGCAAAACCATGAGGCTGATGAAAGCAAGTGATGAAAGGCTCACAAATAAGAACAGGTACACTTGACCTGCTGGGATTTTTTTTTTTTTCTTCTTAGGGGAAGCATTTCAAACTTCTGTCACACACAAAACAAAGTGATGTGCTCTTTCAAAAGTGGATTTTAGAAGAGGAAATGGTCAGTCCTTTACTAAGCCTTTCTTTCACTGGGTCTTTTTTTTTTCTTCCTTTTTTTTCTTTCTCCTTCATCTCCTCTTTTCCTTTTCTTTTTTTCCTCCTCTTTCTTTTTTTAATGTGGATCAAAATAGAACTCGGCCTTCAGACTGTGATGCTCTCTTCCAAAACCAATGAACCAGACTCTTGAAGAAAATGTTCCAGTGCAGTGATCTGTGGCTTATTGTAGACCTGTATCTCTGACATTATGGAACCCAAAACTCATGTGTTCTGCTGATTGATGAGGAAACTTCACTGGTTGACTTCATTCTCAGGGAGTTAGTTGGTGGGCAGAAAGGTGATTTTCAGATACCCTTAGGGTAAAGTAGATTTTATACAATTCACACAGCAGGTGCTCAGTAAAAATGCCACTCTTGGCGTGGCATGGGACAGAGTGCTAGAGGAAACCAGTGTCCCTATGCTTCCTCCACCCTCTCCTCCTGCTTCCCACTGTCTCCAGTCTCTCTTCCTGTCCCTAATTTAGGAATCAACAATAGTGGAGCGAATGCCTCTGGGCCAGCCTAATTGTGCTGGGAAAATTCCCAGCAGTCTCTCCTTCTGATGCTCCAATCTGTGCCTGTTCCTAGGCTCAGGTCTGCCATTCTGTAGTCCCAGCACCCCATCAAGGCCAATCCAGAACAAGCAGCATAATGGGGGATGCTAGCTAGAGAACCATATCTGAGCTTCGTAGCTTCAACCTTTCCTTCCAGCAGGATTTCTTGCTTGTGCTTCCAAGCAGTCTGGGAAGTAACACACACACACACACACACACACACACAGAGAGAGAGAGAGAGAGAGAGAGAGAGAGAGAGAGAGAGAGAGCTAACTTTGCAACACATGAAGAACAGAAGAAAACAAACAAGACATCACTGGAAATCTTCTGAAAACCAGAGGCTTAGGTGGAGCATGAATCAGGAACTTGTGTTCTAGTTTGCCCTCAGCTTCTATGACAAAATAGCAACTGATATCAACCTGGAAACAAAGGGTTTATACTTCCACATCACAGTCCATCACTGAGGGAAGTCAGGGCAGGAATTTAAACAGGAACCTAGAGGCAGCAGCTTAAGCAGAGATCACAAAAGGAGGGTTCTTACTGGCTTGCTCTTCCTTCCCCAGCTCATAATCAGGACCACCATGCCAGGGCTGGCACTTCCCACATCAATTGTCAATCAAGACAATACCCAATAGATATGCATGAAGGCCGAACTGATGGCGGCAATTCCTCAGTCCGGGCTCCTCCTTGTCATGTGTCTCTGATTTGTATCAAATTGACAAAAACTAACCAACACACCCAGCTTCACAAGAGAGATGTCCTCAACGTCCCTGGAAGCTGAGGTTGTAGATTGGAGGCCAGATAGTGTTGTGTCCTGTCCTGGGCCCCAAGGCTGGCTATGTGTAGTCACCTTAGCCCCCAAGGCTGGCATACCTGGAGAAGATGAAGTAAAAACTGTAAGATTTTAGAATATGTGTAAAGGCAGGAGGCAGTCCGGGTAAGATGGGGATTGGGCTGAGGGTCAGTTTAGGGGTGACAGAGCATGAGGAACAATTTTAAGCACTTGCTTGTTGGAGTATATGGGCTGTGCTTGGTCACATCAGGGCTTTGGAGCTTCTGCACTGCTGCTCTGTAGTGTTTGGAGAGCCTTTTCTGTGTTGGAGTCAGAGGTCCCAGGACCCTCCCAACAGCTCTGAGCCACAGAACATGAAGCATGGGGAAGGCTGGCTCCAGCTCCACAACAGGGTTTCCTCAGGCATGGAAGGTGTTCTGGATCTACATAGGTGCTGTCTATGCTGAGATCAAGATCCAGGGAACTAAACAGAACATGGTTTGCTGTGGCACTCGTCCTTTGAGAATGTAGCCTGAGAGAGAAATGGAACCCAGTTTGGTCCTTCCATAAGCAGCCACCTACCAAACACTCAAAAGGGCTGAGACAGACACCATGCTGTCATGGTATATGGGACCAGGAACCTGGTTGCTCACAAACACTGTTTAAGGGGGCTGTCTCTGGCCTGAGCACAAGGTGAGACCCTCAGGGAAGCTCTTCCTGAATGTTCATAGTATAATATTGCAAGTAAGCAGACTGGAGGTATTTGCTCTTCTCCAGTTAGATTGTAATGAGGGTAAAATCATTCCATTCTGCCCACATCATTAGGAAGAGAGGAAAGATGTTCTCAGGCATGTCCCATGAGTACACCATGCTTGGTTAACTCAGAGCAGCCTCTGGCATGAGAACAGCCCTCACAGATAGCAGTGATAACTCCACGAGTACTGAAAAGTGGCCCTGAAGACTCAGAGGTGAAGAGGGAAGTGCTGCTTGTGGACAGAGCAGGGCTGCCGCAGGTTACACTTCTCAAGGCCTATGTGAGAGGGGCAGGGAAGGGGAGAAGACATGTCCCAAAGTCCCAAAATTCTGTACTCAGACTCTGCCAGAACACCTGGTAACCTTTGCACTTAACAGTTCCCTACTTACGCCAAACACACAGGGTCAGACTTGGACGAGGCCAAGTCCTTTAACTGCTGCTTGAGAGGAATAGACAGTGTTCTTAGAAAGGAATCCAGGCCATCCACGGCATGTCATTCAAGGTTTAGGGCACACCAAAATAAAAACACAAAGGAACAGGGATCATGGCCCACGACAAGAAAGGGCTAGGCAGGAACAGTTCAGGAGAGACTTCTGTAGCAGATGCTTGTATTGGAGGACAGAGCTATGACGCTCCCGGCAACCATGTGAAGGCAAAAAAGGGGCCGAGGTCACACTCTTCTGTTTTTACACCCCTTTGTTTGGCCTCTCTCCTTCCTGGTTTTGCCTGTCACAGATAGTCTAATCCATGTGGAACTGGCTTCAGTGGGAGGAAGGCATGTTTAAGGGTCCAGAGTCAAGCTGGAGACGCAACCTCATCAGTAAAGTGAGATACAAGCATGAGGACCTGTGTTCCGTCCCTAGAACACGTATAGAAACGCCCAGTGTGGGTGGTATAGTACTGGCTAGTCCCAGCACTTGGAAGGCAGAGGCAGGCAGATCTCTGAGGTTGAGGCCAGCCTGGTCTACAGAGCAAGTTTAGGACAGCCAGGGCTACACAGAAAGACCCTGTCTCAAAAAAAAAAAAAAAAAAAAAGAAAGAAAGAAAAAGCCCAGTTTGATTATCACTCTCAGTGCTGGGCAGACAGAGACACCCAGGTTTCAGTGAGACATCCTGTCTCAAGAAACAAGTTTGATCATGTCCTAAGAACCAAGGTTGATCTTTGCCATCTGCCCACAGGTGTACACACACTAAACAAACAAATAAAATATTTAAAGACAAAGTCAAGCTTCCATTAAGTGTTAAAAGAAAGTGAGCTGGCCGGGTGGCGGTCGCGCTCACACACACCTTTAATTCCAGCGCTGGAGAGGCAGAGGCAGGCAGATCTCTGTGAGTTCCAGGCTAGCCTGGTTGACAGAGTGAGTTCCAGGACAACCAGGGAGAAACCCTGTCTCAAAACCAAACGAAAAGGAAGCGAGCAATCAAATCAGGAAAAGACACAGAGGATCCTTCACCTAAATGAAAGAAACCATTGTGAAAAGCCACAGGCTGCGGTTCCAGCTTGAGCCTTCTGGAAAAAGCTGAACTACATAAACAGAAAAAGAGAAAAACCAGCAATTGCCTTGGTGGGCAGAGGAGAGGATAAGAGGATCAGCAATTCTGTGTGGTATGACAGTGGGCAGTGGACATAGCATTCTATTATTCGTCCACATCTGAAACATGTGACTTCCCAGTGTAAACCTTGAATTTGGGCAATAAGTGCGTGTGTTCCTATATGTTCATTGGGAAAACCACCCCATCCCCCACTTGTATGACATATTACTAAAGAGAAAAAGAGGAAGAAAGTAAGAACTAATATATATGTACAAACTAATAATCTATTTTTATCACAATTTGGGGGAGTATTTATCTATCTATCTATCTATCTATTTATTTATTTGAGACAGGGTTTCTCTGTGTAGCCTTGACTATCCTGGACTCGCTTTGTAGACCAGGCTGGTCTTGAACTCACAGAGATCCGCCTGCCTCTGCCTCCCAGCACTCAGGTGTGCACCACCACACTCAGCTGGGAGTTATGCTTATTTGTTTTTATTCTATGTACACATGCCAGAATCCAAGTGTGTGCACCATATGTGTGCCGGTACCCAAGAAGGTCAAGAAAGAGTGTTGGATTCCCTGGAACTAAATTTACAAATGGTTGCGGTTGCGAGCTACCTCGTAGGTGCTGGGAATTTAACCTGGGTCCTCTACAAGAACAACAAGTACGTTTAATCATGAAGCCATTTATCGAGCCCCTTATTTATTTGTTTGTCTGTTTAGTTAGAGGCAGAGTCTCACTATGTAACTCTGGTTGGTCTGGAACTCACAGAGATCCTCCCTAGTGGTGGAACTAAAGATGTGTGGCATACAATTTTGTTTGTTTGTTTTTGAGAAAGAGTCTCCCATAGTCCAAGCTGGCCTCAGAGTTACTGTATGGCTAAAAAATAATCCTGATCATCATGCCTCTACTTCCCAATACTGGGAATGTAGTCGTGCCATGTTTATGCCCTGCTGGGGATCAAACTCAGGGTGCTGTATATGCTAGGCGATCAGTCCCAGGCATTAATGTGCATTTTTTTTACCCTGTAAATCCAAATCTGCTCATAAAAATAAAGTTCATTATTTTAGAAAGCCATTTTATAAGAGAAAGTACTGGGGAGGGAAGGGGATATTTTGCTGTATGCTAAGGGCAGGGTCTACTTCATGAAACCTTGGCAGGACCAATGTGTGATGTCTGTCATGGTGTGGACAACGCTGCTGCTGCTGCTGCTCTGGGCTGTGCCCATGTTCCAGAGTAGGAGGACAAAGGTGACTTTAGCCTACAAGGTGAGCTCAGGTCATGCCCTCCCACTGCATGCCTATGGCAGGGTGGAGAAGCCAGGGCCTCAATGGAGCAGAGGTGACAGGGGCCTGGATCATCTGGGCAGGCCTAGGTCCAGTGAGGAGGGCCTTGAGGACGCAGACCGTGTACAATGATGGAGGATCTGTATCCCGCTGATGCCCCTAACCCTCGTGCAACCCCATCTCACAGTGAAGCCCGGAGGAGATAGCAGATTGGGATAATGTTGCAGAGGCTGGGTACGAGGACTCTCCTAGGGTCTCCCATGACCCCCTTCTGTGCAATGTGACATCCCCAGTTGACTGCACACACCCCAAATCACCCAGTGCGATGTCTTGCTGATCCGGGACTCCCCTCTCCGCTGCCTTCTCTCCTGTGTGGCCTGTGTGTCTCTTCACTCACCTCCAGCTGTAGTCTAGTTCACAGTTACCCTGCCTTTCACCCACGGCCAATATGCTGGCTTTTTTTTTTTTTTTTTTAAAGGAAGACAAAAGACTCCCTGGGCGGAAATCCCCCATTTTCCTTTTCTAGTTCCTGGTCAGCTGTGTGGCCCTGGAAGAGCGATTGTCTCTGGCATCACAGGTGGTGAGCCAGACCGTGCAGGATTTGTCTGTGGTCCTTTCTGCCCATGCTCTATTGCTCTACTACTTATCTTCTTCATCCCAGCTGACCTTTGAACCTGGCTTACAACAGATACCTCTCTCTCTCTGTTTTTTTTTCTTTTTTGGCTCCCCCCTCCGCCCCCCGGCTTTCTCTGTAGCCCTGGCTTTCCGGGAACTCACTCTGTAGTGAGATCCACCTGCCTCTGTTGGGATTAGAGGCGTGCACCATCACCGCCAGGCTCAGACACTCTTCCACTCTCTTCCCCATTCCTCGTCTTTCCCTAAGGCCTTCTACCTTTGCTCCTCTCTGTCTTCCCCCTTTCCCAGGTCAGACTACGTGTCTTGAGCGGAAGACAGGTTAATACAAGGATGCCAGAGTGGGTGGAGGCAATGCCTCCTGGGAGCTGGGTTTGCAGAACCGCCCTGGAGCAGGTAAACAGAATCCGGCTGTTTCAGGGGATCGGAGAGCAGTGTGAACAGAACTCTGAGTGTCGGAGCGACTGCTGTGTCACCAACAGCTTGGACCCACAGAAATTCTGCACCCCCCATACCATGTTCTTGCAATGTGTGCCCTGGAAGAAGGTGACTGGGGCCCTCAGTGACACCTAGGGAGGGAAAGAAACCAGCAGGCGACACTTTCTGGCCCCACTTCTACCTTCTTTTGGATGAGCTAGAGGAAGGGGGTTCTGGGAAGGGAGAGGGGAGGTCCCCAGGGGTGGTAGAAGGAAAGGGGTCTCTGACAGCAGAGAGTGCTGGTTCCCTGCTCCCTCACAGCCGAATGGGCACCCCTGTGAAGAGCACTCAGAATGCCAGAACAACTGCTGTGTCAGGACTAGCTACAGCTCAGACAGGTTCTGCTCAGCGAAGTCCATCTTCTTGCAGTGTGTGTCATGGCGCAAGGTGAGCATGGAGCAAGGGAGCAGGTGAAGGCCACCCCATGGGGCTGGGTCCCTGCTGAGAGGAGGGGACCAGGGGCCTTCCTGGGGCTAGATGACATCTGACCATCTCTCCAGCCGGAGGGAGACTTATGCCAAACCCACTCAGAGTGCTGGAGCCTGTGCTGCCTCCCACTGAGAGAGACCAGCCCTTCCCACTGTACAAAGCGAACTGGGCTCCTAGCTCTCTGCCTGCCAGTGGTGAGTGGCCCACCTTAACCCCCACCTACTGAAACTGCTGTGGTGGGGGTTGTGCGTGAAACCAAATCCCACCAACAGAGGGCGCAGTTAGTGTTCATATGCAGTTGATAAAGCAGAGGAGACAACTGAAGCAGACTGTGGGTCTCCTGAACCAGGCACTGAGTCTCCTGGGTATGAAGGTGCAGGGCACCATCATAAAGGCCTGTTGATCCTACCTGGAGGGACCAGAAACTTGCAAGCCAGGAAGCTGGTATTGAAGCTACCAGGAGCTGGAGCAGACTCTTTAGCCCTATCGGAATGTGTGTCTGTATATGTGTGTGTGTGTGTGTGTGTGTGTGTGTGTGTGTGTGTGTGTGTGTCTGTCTGTCTGTCTGTGGTGTCTACCAAGTAAAGGGACCATTACAGCTGCCAGGCAGAAAGGGTCTCCCAACTTCTCTCCTTCCCATCTCCTTTACTTTCTGCTGGCCCTTAGTAGGACCAGAGGACAAAAGTTCACAGAACAAGGGCCATGGAGAATGGGGGCTCATGGGCATCAGAGCCTGACTGTGTGCATGGGCAGTGTATGCCATGGGTGCTATGTGGGGTTAAGTACATATTTTGTTGTTAGACATCATGATACCATGTGGTGTGCTCCTAAGGTTAAGAATATATGGCCCTGCCAGGAGAGCCCAGCCTGTGAGGTTTGCTTTAGCTTGCCTTGTCCCACTTGGGACAACTGACCTCAAGGAACAGTTTAAGTGAGGGAAGGAGTCAGGCAGTCCCATCCATAGTGGCTGAGCCCTGGGCAAGGGTGCTGTGGTTAGTGCTTAGAGTCAAGCACATCTGATTTCTCTCTCTCTCATCTTTACTTTTAGTGAATGAACATGGATTTGTGCAATGCAGAACTACAACTGGCCCTCAGAGAGCAGAAAGTGCTTTGCTCACATCCACTGTTCCCTTATTAGGCTTCTGAAGCTCGACAGGAATTAGAGCTTGTCAGCTTGTCGTTGATATGAACTCCCGCAGCATGAAGCATCTGAGGACAAATCATAGCATTGCCGCTCAAATAAAAACTACTGACTGATGCAGAAGAACCTTGTCCAGTCCATGTTTTGTTTTGTTTTCCCTAATAACAAAAGCATGAAAATCTGTAAAATCCCTGAAGACGCACCTGGATCTGCTCAGCTCTGGAATGGTGCTGGCTCTGCGGAGTCAGGCTGGTGCGGATCGTTCAGGGTGGCCACTACACCAGCCCCACCAGCCCGCAGCCGTCTCCATGACAACGCTGTGGTCATGTGTCTTGTCGCTGGAGATAAGTATAAGTTGGCGATCCCAAAGGGAAAGTTTGCCTGGACCAAATCGCCTACCGCCATACTGTATCACAAGCTGGTCCGGGCGCCAGGGGCTGGGGAAGGTCACACTGGACTTCCCACAGTGGCAGACCTGTTTCCATGTAGGCTGCTTTTCTTTGGTGGCCTCTCCAGGGTTAGCTGCTAAGGTCTCCCTTGTCCTCCAACTTTGACCCAGGTTCACCTTTGTGGCCCATACCGGCCCATGCTGAGCTGCTTCTGTGCCCATTAACCTCCACTTTGTCTTCCTCTCTCCTTGATGAGCCCTATCTATGGAAAAGGGTCCTTCAGTTTCGTTTGGTTTCTGAGTCCAACAGCTGCTTTATATTTTCCCAGACCTCTCATGCCCAATGCCAGGGAACTCTGCCATGCTTCGCTTTGGCTGCTGGGTATTTCAGGGAAAATACCCCAGTTTCTGTTCTTCCTGCACTGTCTGTTCATAAGTGTCCTGTGACCATCTCTGATGCTTTCTGCTCACCGCTGAGGCACCTCCTGTGGGGGTGATAATATGAACAAGGCTGTGGTTGAGATCACCAGAGGGTGTGAGATGTTGGTGTCCTTTCAGAAAAGGATTCAAGGACAGGATGTGGCCCAGCCTGGTCTGTACAAAGCTGTAAGTTCAAACCCCAGCACCACAAAAGAAGACAATTTTTGGTTAACTAGCTTAATACTAAAGTTGTGTGTGTGTGTTGTTTTGTTTTATTTTTGAGACAAGGTTTCTCTGTGTAGTCCTGGAAGTCCTGGAAGTTCTGGAAGTCCTGGAAGTCCTGGAACTCACTCTGTAGACCGGGCTGGCCTCAAACACGGAGATCTGCCTGAGTTCTGGGATTAAAGTTGTATACCACCAGCACCTGGCAATACTAAAATATTTATTACATCAACTATATGAGAATTCTAAATGTGTGAGTTCAAAATGGTAATATGCAATTTTTAATAACTGATGACATTCCTAGGACATTTTATTTCTAACTTTTTGGCTTTGCCATCATCTTTAATTATACTTACAAAATATCAATTTTGGGCCAACAAAGATGGCTCAGTGAGTAAAGGCACTTTCTGCCAAGGCTAATAACTTACTAAGTTCTATCTCTGGGATCCACAGATTGCCATCTTCTCTCTCTCTCTCTCTCTCTCTCTCTCTCACACACACACACACACACACACACACACACAGAGGAGGGGGAAAGGCATGCCTTCCTCCCAATTAAATAAATGCAGACTAAATAAAATAGCATTTTGTGATGTCTTCTAAGAGACAAAAAAAGCAGCTGAATCTCTCCACTGAAGACTGAGGTAACTTCACTCCCCAATGGATGTTTCTCAAGATATATAACTGGGGACTCAGTGGTTAAGATTGCTTATACAACCATAAGAACTCTGTGATGACTATTCTTTTTTAAAATGATTTTCTTAAATATATATAAAAATTTATGTGCATTGCTGTTTTGCCTGCATGTAGATGTAAGAGTGTCAGATCTTAGGGTTACAGAGAGTTGTAAGCTGCCATGTGGGTGCTGGGAATTGAACCCAGGTCCATTCTAGAAGAGCAGTCAGTGCTCATATCCTCTCTCCAGCCTCCATGATTGATGACTATTCTTGGGTGTTAACTTGACTACATCTGGAATCAATTAAAACCCAAGTGACTAGGCACACCTGTGAGAGACTGCTCTCTCTCTCTCTCTCTCTCTCTCACTTTTTTTCAAGATAGGGTTTGTGTGTGTAGCAAGCAGCCCTGGCCCTGGCTGTCCTGGAACAAGCTCCGTAGACCAGGCTGACCTTGGATTCAAAGAGACCCCCCCCTGCTCCTGCCTCCCCTCCCAAGTGCTGGGGTTAAAGGTGAGCACCATCATACCCAGCTGAGAGATAGTTTTCTTAATTAAATCATTTGAGGAGGGAAGACCCAGTTCTAATCCAGATCTTTGAGGTGGGAGGATCCACCTTTAATCTGGACCACACCTTCTGCTGGCCACCTGTATAAAGGACGTGAAAGAAGGAAGCCTTCTCTCTCTCTTTGCTTGCTTGCTCTCGCTCTTACTGGCAAGTCCATTCCTTCACTGGCATTAGAGCCTACTTCTATGGGCATAAACTGGCCAGCTGAGGCATCCAGCCTTGTGGAGTGAACAATTACTGGATTCTTGGACCTTCTGTTGGTAGACGCATTTGTTGAACTATTTGGACCACAGCCTGTAAGCCACTCTAATACATCTTGTGTGTGTCTGTCTGTGCGTGTCTCTGTGTGTGTGTGTCTGTGTGAAAGAGCCAGGTGAAGGCTGGTGTATTTCTGTAACCCCAATGCTGTGGGGAGCAGAGACAGGATCACTAGGCCTTGCTGGCTGCCAGCATAGCCAAAATACGTAAATGCAAAGTGACAGGTGAGGACACTCAAAGGCCAGCCTGGGGTACATAAGTTTGAAGCCAGCTTTGGATACATGAGACCCTTCTCAAGACAACAAACCTGTGCCCCAGAGATAAATGTTAAGGAAAAAAAGCAGGCTTTGCTGGGAATGCCAGCAACCTGAACGGGAAGCCAACTGTATGTAGCCTTAATCACTTTCCAGGTCTTTATGGATTTTCACATAACAATCAGTCAGGGACAGTACGAAGAAGAGTCTGTCAACAGGCTAGGATTCTGGTGCTGACTGCAGGCAGAAATCATCTGAGGACGGAGTCCTTTTTAGGGCAGGACAGCCTAACTGTGGGTCAGTTTTATGGTTAATGCCTGGTTTTGTAAATTAGTTTTTTTTTTTTTTTATTTTAAAGCAAGGTCACAGGGCACACAGTGCCTGAGAGTGAAAAAGACACAGGAGGCAAGCAAGATGGTGTTTTCTTTAGAAATTACCTATAGTGAATGCTAGCCATTTCAAAACCCTTTTGCTGTTTCAAAGAAGGCCACCAGATGGCAATATGACCTTGGCAGAGCAGAAATACATCGGCAGGAAAGCCTGGGCAGGAGTTGTTTACCTGATTTAGAGACAATAAAACACAGGCAATGGTAGAGCAGACTCCTCCTGTACCCAGACTTCTCTGTGACGACCTGCTCTGTAACACTTGTTTTTCCTACTGAATAGCTTCAGCTTAAGTCAAGTGGATTGCAAAACAAACACAAGCTCTGCGGAACCCCAGGCGGGAAGCCTCTGAAAACAAAGTCGCCACAAGCATTGACTATCTAGAGTCAGAGGTCGTGGTGAAGGTTGGCTGGGGAGGTGATTCCCAGAGCTATCGAGACAGAAGCCTGGTCTAAGGAAAGGAGATACATCAGGCTGGGTGTGCTGATCCCTGGAGAGCCTGTCCAGAGCAATTACAGCTCAGAAGTGCTTTATGGCTTTAATAATGTGGTGGGAAACGGGGGGTGGCTGCTGCTTAGAGCATGTTTTATTCATGTCAGGAAAGACTGACTTCTACAGTTATCATCCCAGACCTCAGCTTAGCGGGGCCACTGGCTTGTCCTCTGGGGTTACTGCTGGAGCCCACGCTGCAAAAAGGCAGGGCTGCCTTGGAGGCAACCAAAGGTCCCTCTCGCTAGAAGTTTAGAGTTTGCTGTGAAGGTGGAACTGGGGATGAAAAAATCTACTTAGATGAGTGAGGAAACGCCCCAGGCAGCCATGAACTGCACAAACTGAAAAAGAGCGTGCGAGTTTACCAGGTACAATGAGGCAGAAGGCTGGAGGCAAGAGCTGCTGAAGGGCAGCAGGTACTCAGCCTTGATAGCCTCTTACAGGTAAGGGGAGCTGGTGGTCCACTCCAGAGGCCCATCAGACTTGGGGAGTCAGCTGGAGGAGTGTGGACAAAGCTCACGCCTCCACGTCCAAGAGGGCAAGTTTCTACCCCAGCATCAGCTGCTTCATACAGACTGCAGTTTCCATCAGGGTTCTTTTGCCTCTTCTGCTGCCCACTGCATCCACCATAAGGTCTGTCCCCTCCCAGGGACATCTCATGTTGTCCTACTCCAGCCCCGTGGCTCCTTTGTCTTCACAGGAGCTGGTGCCTGAGAGCTGCTGAGGTTGGTGGCTGGAGGCCGGCTGGAGGCAGGTCACACGGCACAGGTAGCTGTGGAGTCCGATGGCCAGTTCTGTTTCCATGTTTCTCCTGCTGTACTCTTTGTCCCAGGTCGTGGTGACAGGATGTGTTGTGTCCTCATTGCAACAACCCTCACTGGACCCAGAGTCTCAAAGGGATGCCCAACAGCAGGAGGTGTCACGAATCATGCCTATCCAGGACCATCGCCCTCAAAGGTAACACTCCTCTCCAGGCAGGAATGCCCTGCTTGGCCAACACAACACTAACGAGGTGCCAGTACCAGGTAAGGACCTCTGAGGACCTTGTGTGAGCTTGGAGCCACTCCTCCCTTGCCCAGGGCTTAAGGCACTGTGTCCCTTGGCTGTCAATTCAGGACTCATCCACATGAACCCCTTAGACAATGGATGGTCTTAGTCAAAGGACACCCTTGACCTTCTGTCCATCCCAAATGGTGAGTCCTGTGGCTTCCTGAAGTGGTTCTGCAAGGCCCCAGCAGTCCTGTGGCATTTGAACAGGGCCCTATGAGCGGCCTCCAATTCCACCCCAGCCAGGTCTGGCAGAGGATGTAAAAAACAAAGTCCTTAAAAAAAAAAAAAAAAAAAAAAAAAAAAAGCCAGCTGTCACTGTGTAGCCCTGGCTGTCCTGGAACATGCTATGTATGCTAGGTTCTCATAGAAATCCACCTTCCTCTGCCTCTTCTGGGGTTAAAGGTATGTGTGATCACATCTGGCAACAAAATATCTTGATGCCCAGATATTGGAATCGCTCTAATGATGCAGATGAGGAAGGCAGATGAATCTTTGTGAGTTTGAGGCCAGCCTGGTCTACACAGGCCCAGTCTCAAAAAACAAAAAACAAAAGATAAGGAGGGGGAGGTAAAGCCTATTTAATCCAGGGTGCCCTGGGAGGAGGCAGATGGCTGAAAGACTCATGTACATCACGACTGTCATGGGAGCAGCGAACCTTCCCCTCTGCTCCCCATCCATAGCACCACTGTGCTCATGGTGCCTTCACTCTGGGGGTCCAGGGGCCGTGTGGTTGTAGGCCACTAAGACCCATGATCTCTGCAGCCATAACTCTCTTCAAGAGCCCTCCAAGGTCTGACATTTCCTCACAGAAGGAGGGAGGCAGGAGGGTCACTGATCTTCAATTCTAGGTGCTCCCTCATACAGGTGCTCCTGTTGGTCACCTGTATGTTACTCTGCCCTAGCTGAACCTGGCCTAGTGTTTCAGGGAAGTGCTGGAGTAAAAAGGCTGGGGGGATTACAGGGCAAGTCCTTCGTAGCTCTAAATTGTTGTTCTGGGTTCTCGTTCTTGTTGGGTTGAGATTTTCTGGTGATTTTGCGGCTGCTTTCAGGGTCACCTGTGTTCTGTAAGTAAGCCCCAAACACTCACTGGTTCCCCAAGTTTGACTTTGGTGGAATATTACTTTGTTTTGCCATTGGTGTCCTATCGCCCAGGCCTGCCACTCAGCCTGATTAACACTCCACTTCCCAACCCAGGCAGGACATGGTGACACCAAACCATCGGGTGTTCGGGCATGTCCTGAGCTTCATCTGTATGGGCAGGTGGCGCTCCCCTGCGCAAAGGTGGAAGGAGACCGCTGGCCACCTCTGACCTTAGGCATTCTACGTTTTCCTTTACTGGACGAAGGGTTAACCTGATCTGTGTGGCGCTAAACAGTCAGGGTCAAATCCAGCCCCATGTGTTAACATGTTCCTATGAACCTCGAGACCGCGAGCGGGAAGTCGAAGGGCAGGCTCCGTGCGGGAAGCGGCAGACTCTGGAACTAAGGGCTGCCATGGCCAGTGTGGTTAGGCTCCATGGGTCACCTGGGGATGAGTTCCATGCAGACAGAGAGGGGGTGCTGCAGAAGTGCCAGGAAAGCACAGCCCCAAGGGAAACCAAGGGAGAGGTAAGCAGCAAGGGCTAATGCCAACCACGCATTGTCTCAGGATGTCCCTGAGGTACTCGGAAGCCCATCATTGCCCAGGAGGAATGCAGGCAGGGAGTTACCTGCCTCAGAGCCACACAAGACACTGGACCAGATTTCATCCAAATCAAGGCTATATTTATCTCTGTGCTGATTGACATGAAAACCGACTTTAGTGGAAACCGTCTACAGTGGAAACATTGAGCTGGAAGGAACTGAACACAGCAGAGAGTGGTGCTGAATGTTGACTCAGCACAAAAGCAGGTCAGGGAACCAAAAAGGACAAGCTGACAAAACATGGGGGAGCTTGAGAGGGCATGAATGGGAAACCAAAGCCAGAGGAGGGGTGAGAGGCTTAGTGGTGGTGGAGGGGAGGCGACACCCAGACAGATGAAGAGAACTAACCTTTTTCTTGTAACCAACTTTAGACCGGAGCTTGTAGGACTGTCTGGCTTACACAGCTCCGGTTTGTCATTACGACTGGAGCCAGCCAGCCCCAAAGCCCACTGTAAGTCTAAGCAGACCCCAAAAGTGTGGCTCTCAGGGAGGTCCACCCACTCTGATAGGAAGCTCAGATACCTTCTCCCCCTAAACATCCTGTCCTGCCTCCGAGGCTTGCATAGTTGAAGGATAGTTGCTGCAGTTAAACAGCTGAGTGTGTTCACAACTGACAGCCCGAGTGGGGTTTTGTGACCACATACACAAATAACCAGAGGGGGTTCTAGAGACTTGTTAAAGACTGACTGTCCATGTTAAGAATTTAATAAGTTTTATAATTATATCAACAGAATATTTACATTTTTTCCTAAAAAACAAACCAAAGAAATCCGCTTACACCTATGCATAATAGAATAAGGCAGAAAACCCAAAGTTTTGTACATTATTATTAATATTATTTTAATATATATCTGTAACTTCGGTTCTAAGTACCAAGGGAAGGCCAGAGCCGGGCCTGAGTGCAGAGCCTCACAGTGCGCTGGACAGAAAGACCATTTCTTTCCATAAATAACAAACCCTGGGGCTCAAATGGGATCTGAGAAGTGAAACTGCAAATCCCAACTAAAAATTCCTTTTTTTTCTTTTTTTTTTTGGTTCTTTAAAATGTCGTTAGAGCATAAAATTAAGAAAAATACAAAACCATTAAAAATGTTTGTCACTTGTGTGTGGGGAAAGGTACAAAGCTAAATTTTTCCCAGTGACCTAATCGCAAGCTCGGAAAATGAAGTCACCCCCAGGAAAGCGAAAAGTCCTCCACTATGCAGGCTGCAGCGTGGTACAGGCCGCGCTGCTCCCGGACCCCGGGAACTGTGCTCAGGTGCCAGGAATTTAAGTGAGTCAGTTCGTTCCGCCGGGACTACCGCGCCTCCACCTCGGGCGGGTTGCACGCCGGCGAGTAGTCGCGCGCCTCGCCAGGCCCCAGCGCCAGCGGCGTGGTCCTGGGGCGCGCGGGTGGCGTGGGGACCCCGCCGGCGGCCACCAGGGGCGGAGGCGCGCCGAGCGCGGCGGCTGCCGGCGGGGTCCGGGCCAGGAGCGCGCCGTGCAGCGCGCCGGAGGCCAGGCGCGGGTAGTGCATGGCCGGCAGCAGGGCAGCGTCCGGGTCGGGCCCGCGGGCGCGCTCCAACTCCTCCCGGCGCACCTCCCGCAGGCGCTCGGGGCTGTAGGCGTGGGGCTCGCGGTCCCGGTAGGCGCGCTCACAGAGTTCAAAGGGAGCGGGGCCCGTGGCGGGCGTCGGGGCAGGGAAGGGGCGGCGCGGCAGTTCCAAGCCCTGGTAGGTGTCGCACGGCGGATCCCACACGAAGCCCGAGGTGCCCAGGCCCAGGTTTGCAGTTGTGGAGTGCACGCCGACGCCGGTGAGTTCCGGTATCTCGTCTTCCCTGCGTTCCTGCTTGACCTTTACGTCGCCCTGGGGCCGCTCAGGCGTCTGCTTCCCCGTCTCCCGACCTAGCAGGCCTGCCAGTCGCAGGCAGTCGCCGAGGGCTGCCTTGCAGTAGGGCGATGGCGGTCGGGCAGCCAGCTTGGCGCCGTCCTCTTTGCCGGGTGAGTGGCTCTCCTTGACGCGAGTCTCGGCCTCACGCTCTGCGAGGACCCCAGGACGGCCAAGCTCTCCGGGGCCCCGCGGCAGGAGGTTGCTGATGGGATGGCCCACTGGTGCTGCGGCAGGGCCGTGGCTCAAGAGGCGCGTCTTCTCCAGGACGTCCCTGGGAACAACAGGATAAAGCCATCAGCTATAGCAGCTGTCAAGTTCTTGTGACCTCAAGTTTCCTGCTGTGTGGAGCCTCTTTGAACCCAGGGCTTCTGGGCTTAGCCAGTGTTAGAAGCACCCCAGCTGTGAGCACACTGGTGACAGCTGGTTATTGGCTGGGTACTGCCCTGGGTGGATGCAGCAGGACGAACTACTGGGGGGAGGGGTCCTCCCACATGGAGTGGGCAGTAAAGAAGCGCGGCTGCCCCAACTCTGGAATTCCCTGCTCAAAACCTAAGCACGCAGCGCCAACCTGAAAGTACAGGCCTCTAGTCCAGCTAAGGAGAGGCTGAGACAGGACTCAGTCAAAGCTAGCCTGGGCAACTTACCCTGGGGCCCTTGAGGGACCTGTGGCAGGGATCCACTGTCATCACCGGGCCAGGAGAGGGCCCTGAAAACAGTCCTCCTCGCCCACCCTTTTCTGGCGGGGTCCCCAGCTGTGCCTGCAAGCCACATTTGCTCATGGCATGGGGAAGTCAGGAGTGGCTCAGGACTTCTCACCTGAGTCTGTCACAAGGACCAACTGCTCTCGCTACACATCAGACGATGCTGAACCATGGGCATGGGGGCAGAAGAGAGCCCCAGGGCCTGACCAGGGACCTTAGCACCCTAAGGAGGGTCGTGCCTGCTGCAGGACCTGCATGGATCAGCCTAGATTTTGCCCCCGGTGGCCCTTCCACCTTCAGTGTCCTCAGTGCTGGCAGTGGGCTGCAGCATGGGTGTAGGCCTGAGGCCACCCTAAGTTCTGGTACTGGTGATCTATCTATGCCTTCACCTCATACACAGAGCAGCGCACCTGCTTTACACCTTTACACCCCGTAAGCTTTTTTCAACCCTTACCTTAGTGGTATTAGGATCTGACAACAGAGTCAGGCACGTATACTACTGCCCCAGGAGGATTTGGGGCACCGTACCCTCTTCCTCTCGCCCCTTGCCCATCTTCCAGACACCTACCTCATCCAGAGCGTGGCTGCTCACCTGGCTTCCTCCCTGAAACCTCTGGGTCCCTTCAGCCTTTATCCTCATATACAGTGCAAGCGCCATTCTGAGGGTTTACTGGTGTGTTACATAAACTCAGTTTGAATGTTTCTGATCTGCTTCTCATTTCTCTGTCTACTGACCTCTAGAGCAGAGGCCTTTGCCATTTCTCTAATACATCCGATATCCACACAATAAAGATCCGGGTTCAAGCGCCCTCAACTGATACCCCAGGTCCTTCTGAGCCCTGTCACTGTACTTGGGGTGTCTGTTCTGGCCCCCAGTCACTTGTCCTCAGTCACTCTCTAGTTGTAGGTGACCATTTATTACCAGAAGTGAGCTTCACACTTGCCTTGCCTAAAATGGGATGCAAGATTTCTATTCTTGCCGTAAAGTAAATGTGAAAATGTTAATAAGCCTGTTGACTGAGCTCTGGATCAAACATAAATTGGCTTTCAAAGTCTCACATACTCAGAAAACTTTGTAAGGCGTCAGTTCTGTAAGTCTCTTTTCTACCTGCACTCCTTCCATTCCCTTTATTTCTCCATATCTGCATTTCAGGTTTTACCAGCTCAAACTGTTTTGTTTTCGGAGACAGTTTTCTCTGTGTAGATCTGACTGTCCTGGAACTCACTATGTAGACCAGGCTGGTTTCCAACTAACAGAGATCTCCCTTCCTCTGCCTCCCCAGTACTGGGATTAAAAGCATGTGCCACCATTCCCAGCCCATCAAACCTTATTCCCTAAGTTCTATCTGATGAGCCGCTCTCCTAACAAGCTTTCTTCCATTCTGCCTCTCTACGCCAAAGGGGTGAACTGTAAAGCAAGGATCTCTTTGTTGCAAAAGGTCCAATGAAGATCTGGGACCTCTTCCCTCCAAAGGGATCCCATAACTGCTGTCCAGATTTAAAAGTTAGTTCTGGTCCATAAGGTTGCTGATGGTTTTAAACCATCCCAGGCATACCACAAAAGAATTTTATCTGCTTTGGTGACAAACAGGAACTGTTGGTCCCCTCCCTCCATCCTGAACAGGGCTGTTAAGATTCCTTAGGGAGACTGATATTACTCACCACCTGGAGACAAACACTGGTTTTGTTTTGTGTTTTTGGTTTTTCAAGACAGGCTTTCTCTCTGTGTAGCCTTGGCTATCCGGGACTCACTTTGTAGACCAGACTGACCTCAAACTTACAGAGATCTGATTGCCTCTGCCTCCCAGTGCTAGGATCAAACGCATGCACCACCACACCAGGCCTAAGGTGACTTCTTAAAGGGTGTAATGATGCACATTTGACCTGAGAGATGGTGGATCCCGTAGGGATTTGTGCCCTGGTGGGGGATGGGCTCACTTTGAGCCCATCATGGAGCTGAGCTCACCTTGAACAGAAATGTGGTTTACTGCCATCTTAACTGGTGACCTCATTTAAGATGGAAACAACCATATGACTTGGCCACCACCTTTGCTAATGATGTCATGAAGTAGGACAATGCCATGTGACCTTGCCAGCATCTTGGTGAATGTAACCGCACGGCATCAACAAAAATAGCAACTCTCATAAAACTCCTTGGTATTACTGAGTCCTATGAAGATCAATGCACCCCTTTTATGATAAACTACAGAGGTAACTGATGAACCAGCCTGCTTCCATCTTGAGCTTGAAAGCCATCTTATAAAGACAAACTAGGTTCATTTCTGTTTCTGATTAAATTTCTGTTACTCAAAGATTGGGCTATGACCCACCTGTAACCTTAACTACAAATGGTTCTGTACTGTTTGTTCCAGGAAATGGAACCATCTTGCAGTCCTACCTTTGTTTCAGAGGGTTGTCAATGGCCACCTGCTGTCATGCTCTGCTTCTGAAATCTGCCTATTTTGGCAGCCAAACCACCCATTTGGAAACTCTACTTCTGAGCTATAAAACCTTATCTTGCCTATGTCCAATGCTGACCTTGCAAACCCCACTTTAGGGGGAGGCTGCCTGTGTGCAGCAAATGAAAAGAAGGCTTGCTTTAGTTAATTCGTCCATGGTGATTATTTGGGTCAGTTGTCTTTCTTACATCTTTGGGATTAACATCAGATGTTGCAATCAACAAAGCTGGAAGGAGTTCGAATTCTGAAAATCCATTTGACACCAGGCATGGAAATGCAGAATTTGGAATCCGCCCTGCTGGTTTTTGTCTTGCTTTAGTTTAGTAGTTCTTCCCTAGGAGTCCCCACACCCTCTTTGGAAAGATAATATATATTCAGTGCCACTATATGTGATCTGATTTTTTTTTCTTTTTTTTTTTTTAACACGGTGTTACGAGTTCCTTCTGAGATTTTGGACTTTGAAGTAGTCCCGAGACTGAAAGTCTATGGAAACTTGTTAAGTTGGATTGAATGCATTTTTGCATTATGATATGGCTGCAAGCCTGCAGGATGGGGCTGGAAATATGGTTGTTTGAGGCTCATAGGTGTGGCCTTGCTGGAGGAAGCTCGTTACCGGGAGTGAGCTTTGAGGTTTAAAACCTAGTCTAGTATACCAGCCTTCCCACCCCAACCCCCTTTACACACCAGGACCGTGCTTGCGGCCACGATGACAACGGACTGTGACCCTCTGAAACTGTAAGCCAGCCGACAATTACATGCTTTCTTTTGTAAGAGTTCCTGTGCCTGGAATCTCCAGGTCTGTCTGCTTTCCTCTGAGGAAAAAAACGTTCCTTTCTCCCCTCCGACACTCCACGTGTATCTGCTTTTGTTTCTGCCTGATCTAATATATTTGCTAAGGATCTCTATGTTAAGTTTCTCTTTCACAAAGAGGTTTATATAAAAAAACAATCCCAACAAACAGTAAGATTCACAATTTGGATTTATTAAAATATACCTTATATGTGATTATGAATACACAGCCTGCCTACATGGTTCTGGTTTGTCTTTTAAGATCATGTACTTAGTGCCAAAATGACTCCTAGGTAAGTGCTCATGTAAGCTAAAGTTGTTAAACCTGACCCAACTTCATTATGTTCATGGTAAAACTAAAATTTTAAGAAACAAAATAATGATAAAAGACAAAAAATATATTTAATCAATGTGACCATGTAGGTAAAACAAACAGAGATGGTCAATGGCCAGAAATATTTCCCTGGAACAAATAACATGCGTTTCTAAATTTAAGATCTGCTTTTAAGGAAAACACACAGTCAAGATATCTCCTTAATCCTTGTCTCAGTTCTGGTTCTATAATGTGGTCCCATTGCTTGATATAAATAACTTTAAGAGATGATTAGGCTGGGCGTGGTGATGCATGCCTATAATCCCAGCACTCTGGGGAGCAGAGACAGGCAGATCCCTGTGAGTTTGAGGCCAGCCTGGTCTACAAAGTGAGTGTAGACAGGTAGCTCGGAGTCACACTATTCTTCAAGAGAACCAGACTTTAATTTCCAGCATTGGCATCAGGTAGCTCACAGCCAATCACCTGTGACTCCAGCTGCGGGGGACCTGCCACCTCTAGCCTCTAAGGGCACCCACACTCACATGCACCCACAGAGACACACCCACACATATTCTTAAAAACAACAAAAATCACCCAAAAATTATCAACAAGAAATGCTTCAGGACTGTCTCTGACATGAACTCTGTGGCTGGCTCTTTGATTACCTCCCCCTAAGGGGGAACAGCATTGCCGGGCCACAGAGGAGGACAATGAAGCCAGTCCTGATGAGACCTGATAAACTAGGGGCAGATGGAAGGGGAGGAGGATCTCTCCTATCAGTGGACTTGGAGAGGGGCATGGCAAGAGAAGAGGGAAGGAGGGTGGGATTGGGAGGGGATGAGGGAGGGGGCTACAGTTTGGATACAAAGCGAATAAACTTGCAATTAATATTAAAAAAATTAAAATTAAAATTAAAAAAAGAAAGAAATGCTTCAAGAGATGACTTCTCCCACTCCAGGGTGCATCTTCCTATTGGACAAGTGCCCTCCCTTTAGAGAGGAGTAACTATGTCTATGCTGTTAAATGTTCTGTATATGAATGACTGCATATAAAACGCAAACATATAAAGGATATATATATATATATTTTACCACTACTACCTCTTTAAAATGATCCCTGCACTTAGGAGGCAGGTAGATCTCTGAGTTTGAGGCCAGCCTGGTCTATATCGAGTTTCAGGGCAGCCAAAACTGCAACGAGAAATCCTGTCTTGAAAACAAAATGAAACAAAATCCAAAAAAACCAATACCTTCCCTCACCCTAGTATCTGTCTCTTAGAATACAGGGTTCCTGTCCTGTTGCCATCTTCATGCCTTTGCTGTGCTGGCCTACGACAGTCATAGTGGGATTTGCACTTCACAAGTCCTTCACAGAAAGAAATGAGAAACGGGCCATCTGTGGTCGTTCAAATAAGAATGGCCCCCAGAGGCTCGTATGTTTGAATGCTTGGTCCCCAGTTGGTGGAGCTATTGGGGAAGGGTGAGCAGGTGTGGCCTTGTAGGAGGAGGTGTGTCACAGGAGTTGGCCTTTGGGGTTTCAAAGCCCACACCAGGCTCAGTCTTGGACTCTCTGCTTGCTACTTGCTAATCAGATGGAGTTCTCAGCTACTGCTCCAGTACCATGCCTACCTGCTGCCATGCTCCCGGCTAAAATAACGGACTAACCCCCCGGAACATTTTAGCAGGCCCTCAAATGTTTTCTTTTATAAGCTGTCTCGGTGCTTCAGCACAGCAACAGAACAGTGACTAAGATACCACCCCAGCCATTTTATGTAGACAAAGGATGGGGGATCCATCTATGTGCCTATTTAAAAAAAAAAAAAAAAAGCCTCATACATACTGAGTGAAGACCTTTTAGGGTGATTGCGTCTGGGTCCCCACACTCCCGTCAGCAAGTCCTCCCCAATTCTCTTAAGGAAGCCCAATAAACTCATTAGTTTTCTGGCGTGAACTTTGATGACATTGAAGTTTAGTTTGTCATTAGGAACTTATAAGGAAGGGATAGACATTGCTTAGTCTCCCCCCTTCTCCAGGGAAAAAATTCTCATAACAGATAGGAAATTTGTCAATGCTATTATGTCTCATAATATTAAGAAAAAAATGTTAGCAGGATATACGGATGAAAATTGTTTTATTATTATATATAAAGGCTGAGATATCTGATGTTTTCCAGAATGGAAAAGAAAACTAGAAAGCTTCTGTAAGTTATGAAGGTCTGAGTAACGTATTTAAGGTATAGAGAGGATGACATTTAGAGATAAAATATATGATATTAAAGTTTCTAAGGTCAAAGATCAACAATTACAAAGAGTATTAAAAAGTATGTCTAATCAGTTTATTGAAAATGTCTGACTTTGTGAAGCACAGTGGTGCATGCCTGTAATGCCAGCACTCAGGGAGGCAGGGGCAGGAAGATCTCTGTGAGTTCGAGGCCAGCCTGGTCTATAAAGTGAGTCCAGGACAGCCAAGGCTACACAAGGAAACCCTGTCTTGAAAAATAAAAATAAAAAACAACAACAAAAAATTAAAGGTGTAAGTGATCTTCTGGGTATTCAATAACCATATTTGGAGGCATATACTAATTAAGCCAGAGGGACTGAAAGGACGAATATTCCTCCCTCCTTGTCCTTCAAGGTCAGCTAGGTCCTAGTGTTCTTACGGAGCATCCCTTGAAATGTTCTGTAACCATAGGGAGTCCCCTTCTTTTTTGTTCAGGGAGGCCATTTGGTATACTCTAACCAGAGTCCAGTCTGCAAAGAGGAAAGATTTCCTCCATATTTCTGAGTGAAACAATGGTGAAGCAAGGCTTTTGACCCATCTTCACACAGATGGACTAACCAGTGAAAGAAAGACTAGACGAGTCTGAGGTCCCTCCCCTGCCCAAATGACCCTGAGGACTGGACCCTCAATTGGCCCTCATAGTACAAAAACCAAAATTAATTTTGGCTACCTATGTGGTCTTAAACACCCAGCAGGAGAGTACAGCCAGAATTAAAACAATCAGTGTGTTTCTTTCAGTTATGGGATTGCAGTCCTCAGAGATTATACTTAACAACATGAAATGTTACCTGGATAACTATTTCTTACTAACAGTTCTCTTCCTGATATAGATACCACACAGATACAGGACAAGACCTTACTTAAGTGTAGCAGTGTCTAGCCACAGCTAAGAAAAACAGGCCTATTATGGTGACAATTTTAGAATTCTGGTTTCTTTCTTTTTAAAGATTTATTTCCTTATTATGTATACAGTGCTCTCCCTGCATGTACACCTGCATGCCAGAAGAGGGCACCCACATCTTGTTATAGATGGTTGTGAGCCACCATGTGGTTGCTGGGAGTTGAACTCAGGACCTCTGGAAGAGCAGTAAGTGTTCTTAACCTCTGAGCCATCTCTCCAGCCCCCCTTCTGGTTTCTTCAAAAACACAGAAATGTTATTGTTTTAATCCCAGGTGTGGGGTATGGACTGTCCAAAGCAGCTATGATTTGCCTCATGCTGTAGCAGAGTCGTATCTTTGCCAGCTGAAGATTTGTGTGACGTCTGGAATTCTGGGAACTTTTCAGCCCCAAGAGGTGGGGTTGGTGGATGTTGGTCATTCAGGGGGGTTGTTTGCAGATTTGTTAGTGGTCATGCTCAAAGAAGAAACAAGAAGAAATCAGATTCAGGGATCTTTCTCTGTCTCCTATCCAGTGATGGTGTTGGGGAGCAGTGGGGGGGTGGGGAGAGGCTATAAACAGTGGGAAAAAGAATCCACAAAGTAGCAAAGACCAGTTACAGCCTATCTTCTTAATTACTGAGGTCAAATCTAAAATGTGTATTTACTGCCAACTATGAAACACTGAGCTGTGATGTGTCTTTCTGTACACTAGCTACCTGATTAAAGGAGGCTGCCAGATACTCTGTCATCAGACCTAAAGGTTCGGGAAATCATTCACGATACCCAGTGGTGCCTTTGGGACACTGCTAGACAATCCTATAAAAGGGACCCAATAAATTGTCAATTGTTACTGACTTTAATTAACCTTTCCTACAAACTCTCCAAGTGCTTGTTCCTTAAGCAGGAATCTGAGTCTGCTGCAGTAGGCAGCTGATTACACAGATAGCCTCCCACAGGGCTCTGGTACACGATTCAGACTAAACAAAACCCACGTTAACATTTTTCCTCATTAACCTTGTCTCTTAATGTTCCCCACAAAGGTTGTAATAAAGATCTGATGGCTGATTCTGAACTTATGCTAGCCAATGACAAATGTCTGAAGCTCTTCCACAAAACTAGTGGCCTCGCATCTTTTAATTGACTACAGTGACAAAAAGCACCAGTCTTGCTAACACCTATGACAAAGCCTGCCAAGAGTTCTTTAGATGGTTTTCTTGCCTGCTCTCTTCCTCTAACGGCAAAACTTCCCAACCATTTTAACTATACTCTGAGCGAGAATCATGCAGTCCTAACAGTCTCACTATTTTTTATGTTACAGATGCTGCCTCCCTCATAGAACACATTCCAAGGATGCATGCTGTCACCAAATGGATGTCTTACATCTCCTATTTAAGTTTCATTGTTGGCCCTTGGGTTGACCCTTCTCTGAGGCACTTGTAACCGCTGTCCCTTTTACATTGCTCCTGTTGCCAGCTATGAAGCAGCTATGTGGTCTGTGGCCCCAAGCAGTCAGATAACCTCTAAAAAGGGACTAATGGGCCATTCAACACATCCTTCTCGCTTTTCTGGACATTTTTCCTTTAAGAACTCAGAACTAAAAGGCTGGACTGAGGACTTTTTTCACATGAATTAACTTCTCTGTCTGGCCAGCTCTCATAAACCTTAAAGAAATTTCAGATCAACTTATATTCAGGACAGACTAGATTCCTAGGTAGCCAAAATTAAAGAGGGTATGTTGTTCACCACATGTTATTGCGGTCTGGAATGAAGGATTAATGACCTGGAAGTCTCAGGTGAGAAACTCCAGACAGGTAGGTAGATATACTGAGAACGCCAGCAGTTAGAAGCGGGGAAGCTCCCGACAAGCTTTGCTGGTATTTACAGCTGTGAAACTGAAAGGGCACAGATCTGTAGATTTTATCTTCTACCCCAGCGTTCCCTTTTCTGCCCCATAAAACTTCCAAGCCCCCTTCACCTAGGCGCAGTCTCCGCTCCCAGTCTGCTTCTATAGAGGTAAGTCTCCTCTTTCATTTTCATGTCAGAGCTTTGGTCAATCCTGATCTAACAGACTGGACGGGTGAGAAACCAAAATGGGTAGGGAGGTCTCAGGGCCGGATGAACTCACCGCTCCTGCTCTTCCTGGCCCTTGTCAGGCTCTCGGTCATGGTTGGTCAGGGCTGAGAGGCGCTCCGTATCCACTGGCTTGGGCCACGGGGGTGGAGTGGGAAAGGAAGGTGGCACTCGGTGCAGTCGGTTCCAGGCATCATGGGGGCTGGGCAGGCCGAGCAAAGCTGTGCCCTCCTTGGGTGCAAAGATGCTGCCCCCTGGTGCTAAAGTGGGAGATGAAGACAGAGGGCCAGGAGTGTGAGCTGGGCAAGATGCCCCTCAATACTGCATCGCCCAATTCTAAGAGGCTGTGAGAAGCCTTAGCCTAGAGGGAGGGTCAGGGTGCAGGACAGACAGGAGGGTGAGGGGCTGTAGAATGGATGTGGCCAGTCACTCACTCAGTGCATGGCTGCCCAAGCCTCCAAAAGCGTGGTTGCCCAGGCTCCCCAGGCCTCCAAAAGTGCTGGATCTGCTGAAGGGGTCTGCAGGGGTGAGGGGAGGGCAAGAAGGGGTCAGGAATCTATATAAGTCTTCTACCGTGCCCCAGACCGATAGGATGGCACAGGAACTTTTAGTCTGGGCAGGTGCCACCCGTACTGATCTGAAAGGTTGTGGGACCTCCTTCCCACCCACTCACACCTCTCTAGCCTCAGAGTCTATGGAAGATAGCACCCAGGCTTCTGGGCCACGTACCTGTCAAATGACCAGTGGGCAGGAAGCTGCCATGAGGAGCTGAGGGTCCAAATGGGTTGGCAGTTGGATGAGTGGCACCTGGGTGGATGGTAGCCAGTTTGACAGAGCCACCAGACCTGGGACCTCCTTCCTCTAGTGGTGGGTCGCAGGCGGGGCACCCGCATTTACTCTGGGAGCCTCTATCCCAGTCTCTACTCTCTACATTACTGTGCAGGTATACATTTAGATCATGAGGTTGGAATTCAGATTGCTCCTCAGGTCTTGGGGTCCCAAGATGGGCAGGGGCAGTGGTAGAGCTCCCCCGGAAGAAAAAGCCAAGATGTGAACAAAAACAGAGAATGAAGGCCCAGGTAAGTGAACCATAAAGGGACTGATCCCCAAGCTAGTTAGCCCAGGGCTTAAAACTGGAGCTAAAAATGACCCTGCCTACACAAGGGAGGCAGGTGGTCTTTGATCCAGTCATCCACGGAGTCCCAGAACACAGGGCTCAGGCCACACGGGTCATCTTGGTACCTGTCTTGGCATCTCCAACAACCAAACCCCGGGGCTCCCAGAACCAAGTGTGGAGGGCAGCAGTGGGCACTGTTGAAGAGGCTGACTAGGAGAGCAGCACTGGTATCTGTCAAGAGCCCATTACGCACGGGGCAGGAGGTAGGGACTCCCTACTGTGGATGGATACGGGTGGACTTAGCACTAAGAATCAGAGCTTTTGGTCTGAGGCTCTAACAAGCAAATCAACCCATCTTTTCACATGGACATAGAAATCAGCCCACTCAAAGCGATGGAAATCCACTTTATCAAGGCCAAAGGTATAGTATGGAAGATGAGCAGAATTTTAAGTGTTGGGAGAGAGGCTGAACTCTAACCCTAAGCTCCCAACTCAGCTAGAAAAAGGACAACAAAGAAATAAAGGCCAAGGAAATACAGACACCAGAGAGATCTTTGCAAAATTTTAATGAAGCAGGCCATTCTCTGGCAAAGATTAGTGAAGGGAAAGAGATGCAGGGATAGGCAATGAGTTACGTCAGTCTCTGAAAAGAGACAGAGCCAACGATTAGTCACTGTCACTTAGAGGGTTTCTACAATGTTCCACAGGGCATTAAGGGTTAAGTGCCCCTGCATTGCTTAGGAGAACATGTGGTTCAAAACAGTAACATACACCAGAAAGGAGTGATTGTTCTTCCTGTACAGTCTCAACTCAACCCCCCAGTAAAGATATCCAACGTCTGGTGGACACTAGGAAGGTTTAAGAAGCCAGAGAAATTGGGAAATGGGGAGGAGGCAGTGGTCACCAAGATAGGGACTGAAGGATGGAGGAGGCCAGCTGCTGAACATGATAACCTGGCAGGGCACTAAGGGCATGTCCTCAGGCTCAGGCCAGGCTGTAAGCCTTCAGGAACACCTCTGCTTTAAAAGTCTACACCTGAGGTGGTCACAGTACAGAGGCCATCAGGATGCCGAAGCCAGAGATGGGAAAAAGCCACCACACTGTGAGGCCAGTTCTGGGTGGCTAGCCAGCTCTGCCATCCTAACATATTAACAAAGGTGAAAACATACTTGCCCTCATCCACCTACAAGTGGGCACCTAGCGGGAGGAGGATGAAAAAGATTAGGGTGGCTGGAGCTCTGAGGAGACCTGAGGGCCTACATGTGGAGGAAAAGGGATCCTGCAGAGGGAAAGACATAGCAGTCATGTGTGTCTGCGTGTACATGTGTGTCTGCACACAGGGTGCGATAGCATTCTCTAGACTTGTCTCTGCCAATATCTGGGTTCAGATTTTGAGTTTGGAGAAGTTCCTTCTGTGCTCATAACTGAAATGCAGCACACCCTTTGTCTAGACTTCATTCAAGTAGCTTCATGCTGAGTCTTTTTTTCCTGGGATTTGGATATGTCAGATAGGTAGCCCCAAGAAACCCTGGGCATCAAAGCCCTTGTTGCAAAGGGCTCCCGGGGCTGAGAGTATACAACGGAGATTGCCATGGGCCTAGGAAGTGGGACAGAGAGTGTTGTGAACAGTCTCCTGCGTGTGGGAACAAACCAGATACTGTCCTGGGGATGGTGAGTTTAAGGATGTGGTCCCAAGGATGAGGAGGGGCCAGGCCACCAAGCATCAGGAAATGTGAGACAGAGGCCTAGGTGATACACAGAGGTCATGGTCTTGAGTAACTAGCACCAGGGTTCCAGGATACAAGGGCTAGGAAGTTGGGGACTTGGGCTGGGACCAGCAATATAAAGAACACTGCAAGGGCCCTGGGAAAGCCTCTCACTTCCCATACTGGACAAGACAGATGTTTTGGTCCCACCCACATCTTCGATCCCAGCTACCCTTGGTCTCACCTGTGCTGGAGAAGAGGGGCCGGGCCAAGTCCTGTGGGTAGTGGAACCCAGAGAACATGCCTGGGGCGGGGGGCCGGCTGAACAGGTCCAGCTTTGTACCAACCTCCAGCTTGTGGGGGTCCAGCTGCATCTGCAGGGGGACAGAGTATGTGCCAGGGCTGTGTAGAGGGGCTTGGCTATTGCCCCAGGTAGAGCCTGGACTGGTGGTCTGGACTGTACAGGGACCACACTGGAGGTGCCTCCTTAGGGGCTGCCCATGCTCTGGCAGCCCCAGGTAAGGGGAAGGAACAGCAGTTGTAGTGGGCTTCATCTGGGACACACATAATGCACGGAGTCACAATGACACACCCCACTTTCATACCACAGCTTCCAATCAGTGTAGTCTTTATACCATAGCATATCTGCATATTTCATTTCACAGAAAATATCCTCATTTAGATTTCACAAAGTTCAGCTGAAGAAGCATATCCACAGGCCTAAGATGTTCCATGTACGCTTGTTTTCCAATGATGCAAGACAGGTTAACTCTACAGCAAGGCGATGGCTCAGGAGGTCATGCATCCTGCCACCAGGCTTGAGGACCCACATCCTGGAGAGCCAGCTCCTTCAAGTTGTCCTCTGACCCCCACATGCATGCCACAGCACACATGTACTGGGTGTGCAGGTGCACACATGCGCACACACACACACACACACACACACACACACACACACACACACACACATATATATACAAATGAAATCCCAAAACCATGACTTTATTGAAATTATATAGACCTGAGATGCCTGTTCTCCTTTGAGGCTATTCCTTGAGGGCTCTGTGGCCAGAGTCTGAACTGAGTGTGGCTCTAGGGACCACAAGGGCACAATTACTGTCCTCTACCCTTAGCCGTATGATCTGCCCTGATACACCTTGTTATGGCCAGCATTTGGGGCTCACATTCCTCCCACTGCCTAAAGCATGTTACTCTCGTCTCCTGCACCTTGTATGTCTCTGTGTGTTTGAACGTGTGTGTTTGCACATCACCGTGCTGGAGTGCTCGGTGGTAGGTAAGTACCGGCAAGTGTGTGGCAGGCAGAGCCTGTATGTTTGTGGCTGCCTATCCAACCAGGATCCTAAGTTACCTCAGCTCAGTGAGAACCAAGCCCTTATTTCCCAAAATATACCAGGGATCACTCAGGAGTCACTGCGGTCAGCCCCTAGGTCTACCGCTGCAGTCCCGGAAATCCGCACTATGAGCACCTACCCACCTCCACCTAAGCGTGTGCACTGGAATGTAAACAGCGCTCTCTCACGACTCCCTTTCTGTTAACTTCTTTAAGGCCTTCTAGGAGACTGACACCTACACACAAAGCTGCCGTGCATCATGGGTCACGCCTGTACTGCAGACTGTCCTGACTTGCCGTGAAGACACTCTCCCACTCCCAGGTCCACCAATCACCTGCTTACCGGACACCTGTGCACATGCATGTGGCCCTTATCCCTGCTCTGCACTGTCTTCCCAACCCAGGCTCTTCCATCAGTGCTCCTAACCGCAACCTTGGAGCTGGCCAGAGCCTCTCATCACACACCCTAGAGTCCTCCCAAATGGCCCCAGCAGGGAGGCCCTGACAGTGCACCCGCCTGGCCCGGCCTCACCTTCATCTTCTGCTGCTGGTGGTAGATCTGCCAGGCGATCTGCACGTGTACCGCACACCACTTCCCTGGTTTCTGTGGCAGGACCGGGATGTGCTCAGAGAGCCCAGCGCCTCTTCCCAGGCCTCGCCTTCCCCAGATTCCTACCATCAGGACCACCCCGAGGCCACCCAGGAGAGAACCGGAGTCCTTCCCAGCCACAGCCCTGGGTGTGCTTCCAATTCCTCTTCCCAGCATGCACTCACTCACCCTGACTGCTGTCCGGTAAGGATCAGACACCTGTGGTGAACAGGAGAAATGATCATGTCCAGGCTCTATGGGAACACGGGGTTGGGAGAGACAGCACCCGGGTACATGCTGCCGACTGCACGGGTAACTGCTGGCACCTACCCCAGGGGCTTTCTGCAGGAAAGTGTGAACTGCACTGGCCCGGCCCGTTATCTCGATTGAGTTTGAAGTCTGAAGGTACAGGCAGAGAGGGAGAGAGAGCATGAGCAACCCATGTGCTGAGGAAGGAGGAAGCAGGAGGCCTCAGGAGGCCCAAGTTCGGGGCTGGACTGTGCCTTGGCCTGCTGGTGGGACCGTGGATACTATTACCGCAGTCCCATTCACAGGACCACCTCCCCTTCAGTCCGAAGGACTTGCCAAGGCAGGGATACTGGCTCTTGACCTCACCGAGGAGAATGAATTGCCTCACTGTGAGAGGCACCTACATATCAGGGCTAACACAGTACTTAGGAGAGGGAGCAAGCCCAGTCCCTAGCCCTGGAGACTTGGGGAGCTGCTGAATGGGCACTGGTAGGCTTATGAGACAGGACCACATTCTGTTTGGAGGGAGAGGCCATGGAAACTCTCCTGCTCGGCTCCTGGCTTTTCCACTCCTTCCCTTTTGGGCAACGTGATGAGTTTGGATGCCATGTCAGTTGGTCAACTCCTGCACTGCTCAGTAGCAGGCTTTCTGACTGCAAACAGGCCCCAACCAGCAGGGGCCGCTTACACTAAGGCCCAACCGCAAAAAGAATTGGAGCTACTTTGTAGCCCTGCCCCATGCCACAGACCCACCCACCTGCCAAGAGCGGCTGAAAAGCGCCCTGAAGGGACCCAAAGGGGTGCTCAAGCAGGGTGGGCAGCCCAGGGCCTGTGGGAGGGAAGGGCAGGAAGAGCTGCAAGAGAGGCAGAGTTCTGGGCTGCAGGCCCCACATGGTGGAGGGGCCTTGAACACTGCTTCTACCTCAGCATCCAGAAGGAAGCACAGACAAATCTTTAGCTTCCCCGTACCCCAAGCAGGCAGTAATCTGGGCTTGAGCACAGGGACTCACGTTGGAATGTCGGAAGTAGGGGCTGTCCAGCTTGGGCGAGAACTTGTCAAACTGCAAGGGAAGAAGGCAAAGGTAAGACTTCCTATACAGGCCTAATGCCCTCCATTGGCCCAGAACCCACCCACAGCTAGGCTGGCAGTGACCAGGATGGCTACTGATGTCTGAAGCAGGTGGCCTGGTGTGTCACCTGGCTCCCTGAGAGCACTGCCCTGGCCCTGTGGGGCCCGGGCTCCTGGGTCAAAGAGGTTTGTGTGTACCAAGCTGAGGCTCTGGGTAGGGCAGCAGGCATGAAGCCCTGGCTGGGCAGGTAAAATGGGAGAGCTATGAAAACCACAGGCTGCTTACAAAGAGAGAAAGTGCTGCACACGACAGGGTGGACATGGACAAAGGGACACACAAGAAGACTGCAATGGCCTGGTCCTTGTACACTAGACCTGTCTAGACTCAAGAACTGCTGTCAAGCTAAGACCCAGCACTGGTCCCGGCCCACACCCAGGCCCAGGCCCTGGCAAGAAGAGACCAGGGGTGGGAGACCGGCTTCAGGCTCACAGAACAGTACCCAGGAGGCAGCGGAGTAGGGTCTACACACACACGAGCAGGAGACGGCAGGCCACCTGCTCAAGGCCTGTGTGCATGGGAGTAAGTGAATGTCTGTGTGAGCGGTCTGTCCCACCCAGCCCGCCCAGCCAGCAGCCAGCACTCTGGCCTACGCACCGGCGAGGGTGCGGTGGGCAGCATGAGCGGCGTCGGGGGCAGCCCCGAGAAGGGGGCGAATGTGTGTTGGTGCTGGTGTGTGTGCTGGTGTGTGTGCTGGTGCGTGTGCTGATGCGTGTGCTGGTGGAACTCGGCCCGCAGCAGAGCTCCCGGGCCCAGGGAGGCGCCAGGCCGCTCCGCGTTCTGCACCAGAAACCGCGTGTTCAGCTCTTGCCTGAGCAGTTCGTGATCTACAAGAGAAAAAGAGAGAGAGACGGAGAGGCACGTCGGCCGTGGGCTCCCAGCGGGGCGAGGCGGATAGTCACCTGGCACTCCCGGGGTCGGCAGGCCAAGCCGTGGTGGCCACTCGCTACGTGTGGGCCCAGGGGTGGAGGTAAGAGAGGAGCCTGTGACCAAGTACCAATCAGAATCCCCGAATGAGGCTGGCAATACATGATTGGCTGGTTGAATGAGATCAACAGGCTGGCATCTAGAGGCAAGGAGAGAAGTCTGTGAGCCCTGTCCAGTGGGTGGCCCACAGCCTCATGTTCCTAGGTCAGGGCTTAGACATGTACTGGTCCCCAGCCGGAGTTCCTTTTCCCTGCTTGATGGTTGGCTGACTCGGCTCAAAAACCCTTCAAAGATTTAAATTTAGTGACGGTTCCAGCCAGAGTTAAGAGGGACTTGAGCCCTACTCCGGGTCTTCTGGAGTTTGGGAACAGCAAAGGCGGAGGAAGACAATGCACGGTAGGAGCTGCCTGCCTGAGCAGGGTTCTTACGCGCATGACCTGTGAGTCCTCTAAGACCCAACGGCCGGGGAAGGTCCAGCCCATGAGCCTCCCAGGATCTTCACCTCTTCCTCCTGCTCCAGGGCCCCATAAAGGTTGAGCATGCACCCCTGGGTAGAACACCTACCGGCGGGGTGTCCTGGGATGACCAGGCTGCTGGCGGGTAACGCCGGGGGCGGGGGCAGTGTTGGGGGGGCAGCGAACATTGCCGCGGTGTGGTGCTGGTGCTGCGCCTGGGACCTGAGCGCCAGGTGTGAGGTAGACAGGTGGGGGCCAGGGCCGTGTGGTGACAGTGTCACGTGCTTTGCCAGGCCCAGAGGGGTGCCGCTGACCGTGCTGCTGCTCCTGCTGCAGGACACAGGGCTGAGTGGCATCCTTTCTCTCAGAACCTGGATGTCCCATAGCCACACTCCCTTTCCAAGGCCAGCGGCACCTCCCTCAGCCCTGAGGTGGGAAGGAAGCCACAGCCCCACCCCAGGACATGGCCTTACCCACTCCCCACCTGAGGCTGTGCAGGTGCAGGCTGTTGGGCACCACCTGGCCAGGGCCAGGGCCAGGGCCCACGAAGGCGCCCAAGGACAGAGGCACGTGTGTCGAGAGTGAGCCTCGATGCTGCGGGGTAAGCTGTGGCTGTGGGACGTGGTGAGGTACGATGGGGGCTTCCCTCTTCACCAGAGGGCTGGCCCCAGCTCCTGGCGGAGGTCCTGAGGGCGCCGGTGTTGTGGCAGGCAGGAAAGACTCCGTGCTGAGCTCGCTGCTGCGCTCCAGGCCTGACACCTTGGGCACTGCCCCTGTCTTGGCCTCTGTCTTCTCACCTACCCCAGGGCCTGCAGAGAAAAAGGCGGGTGTACGGTTGGGGCTGGCCCTATGTGCCACTGTTTTTGGCACAGTGCTAAGGGTCCTGCAATGACCCCTGACATCTAATGGGAAGCATGAACAGAGGCATGTCCCGTTCATTACCTGAGGTCACACAGGTGAGCCGGCCTCCTCCCTGGTGCCTAGCCCCAGGTGCTCTTTATAACTCCAAATTCTAGGCCCCAAAGTAAGGCTAGGATATAAGGCTATTATAACCCCATTTTTGAAGTTGCTGTGAGGTCCTCCACCCTCCTCATTTTTATTTTGTGTGTGTTGAGTGTTCTGGCTGCATGCATGCCTGGTCCTGTAGAGGCCACAAGCAGACACCCGATCACCTACAACTAGAGCGGCAGGTGGTTGGGGGCCACCATGTAGGTGCTGAGAATCTAACCCTGGTCCTCTGGAAGAGCAATCCATGCTCTTAGCCATCTCTCCAGCCTGCTTTTCTTTTAAAATAGCTATTCTAGTTTCTAAATTACACGTTTTCAAGGTGTCCTTTGTAAGTGCAAGTGTGTGAGGAGAAAGGAGGAGCTGGAATTACAGGCTTTTGGGAGCTGCCAACATGGGTGTTGGAACCTGAACTCTAGTCCTCTGATAGAGCAGTACAATTTCTTAACCACTGAGCCATTTCTCCAGTCCCCCTTCCTCCCTCTCTCTTCAGACAGTGTCTCTATGTAGCCCTGGCTGTCCCGGAACTTGCTCTGTAGACCAGGCTGGCCTCAAACTCAACTGGATCTTCCTGCATCTGCCTCCCAACTGCTAGAGTTAAAGGAGTGTGACATGTCCAGCTCCCTTATTTCTCTTTAAAATAGTTTTTCTTCATGAGCCTGTGAATGCACATGCCATAGTTCACATGGTTCAGAGGGCAACTGCGGAGGTCAGTTCTCTTCCTCTCACAGGTGGAGTCTGGGTGTCCAATTTAGGTCCATTCAAGATGGACTTGGCAGTGTACACACTTGGCAGTACCTTAACCACAGAGCCACCTCACTAGCCCTTGCTTTCAGTGTTAGAGATGAGTCTTCACCATGCTAGGCAAATGCTTTACTGCTGAGCTATCTCTCCAGCCCTCTTTGACTTTTTATTTTCAGACAGGGCTGCTTAAGTCACCCAGGATGGTCTTGAACTCAATTGTGTGGCCCACAATGGCCTCAAATTTTAATCCTCCTCTTCCACAGCCTAGCTGCAAAGACAGGCCTGGGCTACTAGGCCCAGCTCTCATGACCCTATTTTGTAGACAAGACCAAGGTTCTACAAGAACATGCCCAGGGGTTGACATCTGCCCGATCTCTACTTAACCCCTCGGCTTGAGCATGCATTAACATACATTCATGCAGGCACACATGCATGCACTGATGCCCACCCACCTCTTTCTGGTGCCTGCAGTGATCAGCAGAAGCTGTCCCCTGCACTAAGGCTGCTTCCTCTGACCCACTGTTTCTTGACCACCATCCTCAATTAGATAAACAGACGCCACCAAGGCTCCCACCTCCCTTGACTCTCTATGACCTGAGACCCAGGAGCTGGGCTGGGGACATACTCACCTTTGTCAGGTGCCGGGGTAAAGAGCTTCTCAGAGCCCACAGATGCCTGAGGAGAGAGAATAGGCTGACAGGCTGGAGGTGAGTGACTCTTACCCATCTCCCCAGCAGAACCCAATCCCTGGTGTACGATACACTTCTGAGGGAAGATACGCTTATTCTGGGACTACCATGTTTACAACGTTCACATGGCAAGATGTCTCTCTACTTAGAGCAATGGGCTTCCTCAAAATGGGACATACGTGATGGCCTTGTGGTGGAATGAACTGAGAATGCCAGCAGCCTAGCAGGCAGCCCATTTCTATGGTTGGGGCTCTGCTGGGTCTCAGCCACAGGCTAAAGGAAGAGAAAAGAGGAGTCCTTATTGCATATCCCTCCTGCCCAGCCCAGGGCACACTATCAACGCCTAGAGTTAGAGAGGGCCCACCTATTCAGGGATGTTCAACATTTTGACTTTATGGCGTGGCACTGTCATCTACAAATGCACTAGGCTGCACTCAAACCTATCTTGGGATCCAGTCAGCTGTGAGTCACAGCTGGTTCTGCTAGGTAGAGGTGGGAGATGTTGCCCGTTTACATGCTGTGGTATAGCACCATTCTCAACGTCTGGGACTGGCCAAGTCAACGCTTGTGTGATCCAAGTATCTGAATACTCTGAGGGGATCTGCTGTTCTCTTTTTCCCACTTCTCCTAGAGAATCATTTGTGAGGTCTGGACTGAACAGTCACTCACAGCTTTGCATGTAATCAGGATGAGAACTCTATGAGAGTGAGTGGAGGGCCCATACTCGGAAGAACTTTGCAGTTTGAAAACTCTTGGTAAAGTGACCCTGGAGAGATCTTTCTGTTCTCTCAGATCCCTTCCTGAATATGGACTGAGTATGAAAGACAGCTCAGAAGAACGGACTTGAGGTAAAACAAAAACAAATACAAAAACAAAAAACCAGCCTCATCCAAGGAAACCACACACGGAGGACACCTATTCCCCCACACCACAGTGTAGCTCTCCTATCTAAAACTTCATGAAGCTTGGGCTGTTGAGCCCTTAACTGTCCATAGTGTCTTTACTACCCAAGGCCTGGCGTGGACCTGGGTAGAGATGGGTTTCTAGAATGCCAGGCCTCGGCACAACTGTCCATGGAGTGAGGATACCCCAGTGTCTATCAACAGGCAAAGGGATGGACATACTATCCAGTCCAGCCTACCTCAACCAGAAAGAACTGTAGATACAGTCAGTAAGATGAACCTCAATTGCTCAGAGATTACATGCTGTAAGATACCATTTGCACATTCAGGGAGTGAAAGGCAGCCAGAGGGTGCTGTCAGAATGCATCAAATTAGCTTGTTTAGGTGCATTTTACTGCACATAAACTACAATCCTGAAGTCAACCAAAAGATGTAGTGTTGAAGCTTGAGCAGGCCTGGGTAAGGTGGGGGCAAGTATTCAGGTATGTCTATGGGAGGCGCCCAACTATGGGACAGCAGAGACTGAATCTGTATCCTGTCAAAATAACCCCAAACAGACCTCAGATGGGAATGTTAAGAAAGACTGAATAGTACAAAGCCATCATGGGTATGAAAACTGGGCCTTTCCTACCCCACACCTCAGGAGCTCATGCTACAGAAGAGGCAACCAACATCCCTTACTTGTACACAAGGGCTCTAGCGAAGACCAGGGCTTAAATTAAACCACTCCTGGACTTCACTGATCATGAACATGCTTACATAGGGATCCTTTTCTTTCTTTCTGACTAGGAAACATAAAAGATCCCAGAACCTTGGAGCTAGCAAGAGATGATTCAGTGTTTAAGAGCACTAGCTGTTCTTCCAGAAGCCTGGAGTTCAATTCCCAGCACCCACACGATGGCTCACAACCATCTGTAATTCCAGTCCCAGGGGATTTTCTGGCCTTTCTTTGCATGTGTTGCACATACTGTGAAGACAAAATACCTACACACATATTAATTAATTGTTTTTTTTTTTTTTTTTTTTTTTTATTTGCTTGTTTGTGACAGGGTTTCATTTTGTAGTTCTGGCTGGCCTGGAATTCACTGTGTAGAACAGGCTGGCCTGTAACTCAGAGCTATATAGCTGCCTTGTCTATCTCCTGGGCGTACACTACCACTCCCATCTTTTTCTTTTCTTTTCTAGTTAAGGGTGAGGGGCAGAACCCACAGGGGACTAGACAGAGAGGAAGTGATCAGCGAGGCAGGGCCCTACTCAAGGGCTTCTCTGACCGCTCAACTTTGCTTTCTCTTGGTGACAGGCTCCTGTCTTCCATGCTGGAGTACGTACTATAAATTAGGTGACCGTCGTGCTTTGGAGCACACAGCAGGCCACCTCAGCAGACTGTCCGGTGTCCTGATCTTATACTTCCAATCTTAGCAGTGAGCTGTGAACTTGTGCAGTCTTTGGGCCTCTGTGCTGCGTCACACACATGGTCTGTACCCACTGGTATTCCCAGTTCCCTGGAGGCGGAGGGGTCCTGGCAAGGGTGGGTTGAAAGAGAGGCTACAACCCAACCTGCAGCTCCCAGTGTGGCACGTGCTGGTTTTCAGTTACTGGAAGTAGAGCAGGGTTGCTTCAGACACAGCCCACGCCTGATCAGAGGTCTTAACAAGAGGCCTAGAATCCCACAAATCACCGAAGTGCACCTCTGTGCATTTCAGGCCTTTTGCCCCATGCCACACTTTATAGCCGGGACTTTCCTAACCCTGACCTCCTCTGCTCTTTCTACAACTACCACCTCAAGCGAGTTTGGTAGAGAAGAGGGCAGGACAAGACAAGGTTTCTAAAGGTCAGCACCATTTCCCTTCCTAACCCTGCTGTGAAGTGCTGGGAGGAGTGACTGCTGTAAGCTCTGTCCTGTACAGGGCTCAGCATTACAAGGACCAGTGGGTTGGTCAGTGGAATAGGCAAAGTCAGGGACCTGCTGGGCCGGCAAAGAGGGCCTTAAGGAGTTTGAGTCAGCCATTACTTACCACTGCTGTCTGTAGACAGAACACCAGGGTCCTGGAGATAGCTGGACCCCTGACCATGCATTGTCCTATTGCCCTGCTCTGTCTGCCAAGACACCCAGGGTCCCCAAAAAAAAGCAATCACCCTATCAGAGCTTGATCATCAGTTCCTGTACTCAAGGACCACTTGGGCTATCTTAGCTTTTTACAAAGTTCTTTACCAAAAAAAAAAAAAAAAAAAAAAAAAAAAAAAAAAAAAAATTTCAGAATAAGAAGCACCCAGCTGAGAAAAATTTTAGGCTCACCCCAGAGCCCATATGTCTCTATAGACTTCTGTAGAATCCCTGAACCCCTCCTATTCCATTCTTCTGCACACAGGCTGTCATGGTCCCCACTAATCTCTCGTCTCATGAGGCCTCTCTGGAGTCCAGTCTGACAGTATCTGTCCTGCTGCTGCTGATTACCTATCGCCTTCTATGCAGCAGCCCTGAGGACCCATGTGTCAGTGCCCTGCTACATAACCAGCTCCCCAAGGCACAAGGGGAGGGCACTAGGCCTCACTCTGAGAAAGCTGTCCCAGGCTCTTCACTGTCGGCCCCGTTAAAAGGCCTTCTAGGTGTCACCAAGCCCTTACCACAGTGTCTACAAGCCCATCTTGGGCCTCTGCTCTGCATTCAGTCTCCAAGTGAGCTTGGGGCCCAGGCTACCACCTATAAGCCAGAAAGGAAGATCCCCGACCTCCCAGGCAGGGGAATGAAATAAGCTATCAAGATCAACATCTGCAATCCCACATCCAACCCAAAATGAAACTTCCAAACCCCAGGATTTAAGACTTTGTTTCTTGGCACAAATGGCAAGCAGTAAGTGAAAGAACTTGAGTTTAGGTGGAGATGGGGAGGAGAGGGTAACCCCTGCTCTGCCTGTCTCTAATTGAGACCTAATGACTCAAGGTGCCTCTTAGGAATATTCTGTCCTAGTTGTTGATCCTCAATCTGCCAGGGGTCCCAGTAGGGAACTCTTCTCTCCAAGAGCGGATGTGAAACCCAAACATTTTTGTGGACTCAGATCCACTCCCGGACTGCAGGAGAGCCAAAGGGAGTGAGTAGGATGGAGGTGGGAAGCAGAGTGGGTAAAAGCAGGGGTGGCATACCCTCCCCATCACAGGACAGTGTCTGGCATGGCCACAGTCAGTTCCCTCTATCCACAGGCAAATCTGCACCATGGGTGCAGGCAGGAGTCCTAGTGCTCTGCAGGGTTTTGGGACACATGGCCAGGCTGGTTATCTCCATTCAGAAACACTCTGACCTAGAAGACCCCAGTTTCCAGGACCTCTAGGGGAAAAAGTGGTGTGATGGCAGACGTGTGAGCCACCTTCCTAGGCAAACACAGAAATGTCCCTTCAGCCTTGTCCTTTCAGCCACTCAAGAGCTGATGAGCTAGGCCAAGACGGGTGGATGTCTCCCAGAGGTTGTCAGACCTGTTAGTAACTTTCTGGGTATTATCTACAGAGATGTGACTCAGGCATGTAGTCCTCCTCCAATCTTGTGGAGCCACAGTGCAAAGGAAAAGAATATGGTCACTTCATATCAAGATGCATGTGGGAAATCCCCAGGTTGCAAGCTTGCGGATCCACGAAAAAGGCAGGTTTGGCAGGAAGAGACTGCTAAACCTCCGAGGGGCATCATTCTGGCCAGGGGCTAGGGTCTCCGCGTGCTTTGTTTGAGACTATTGGACCCTAGGGGCAGCCCTCGGATCAGACGGTAAAGCGCAGCCTCCGCCGCACTCCGCCCCAGACAAAGAACTCAACTTCAGGCAGGTGAGGTGAGCTAGGCACCATGCACCCGGTGGCGCGTGCCTTTGTCTGTTTGCCCCCACCGCGCCCCGCCTGCCTGCGCCGCGCGCTCGACGGGCCCAGGACCCTTACCAGACAACACCCTGCCGCTTGCCACCACGTGCGCCCCGGTGCAGCTGCGGGAACACAGGGACTCTGAGCGACCTGCTCAGGCGGTGGATGCGTGAGCGGGGTTCCCAGGGTCGTCTTCTTGCCCTTTCTTCCACCGGGTCGGTGCTTCCCCACTGGCCATGCCCAAAGTCCCGTTCTGCTCTTTGGAGCCCACAACCAACACTGACCTCACGGCACCCAGATCCTGCGCGCTTCTCTGCGTTCGTCGATGGTCTCAGCCCTAGGCGCTGCACGGACATGGGTGGCAGAGAAATTTCCGCGGGCCTGCCATCCAGGTAGCCCGTTTCTGCATGCCCCGCTCAGCCGAAACCTGGGCTGGGGGCGGCGAAGGCAAGCTCCCGCGCCTTCTCTGAGCGCTGCGGGCGCTCTGGGCGCAGCGGCCAGGCGCCGTCGGGCGGGCGGGGTGGTGGTGGCGCGGGCAGGCGGGGCGCTGTGTGGGCGGGGCATGGGCAGGCCCAAGTAATCCAGCCCTGAGGCGTGGATCTGCTGGGGCTGGCTTCGACATGGCTGTCTGATCTGACCTGGTACCCCAGGCTCAGCGCGCAGCGACCACAAAAACAAAAACAAAACTAACAAAAAAGACGCCCGTGGGCTCGACTCCACGATCATCGATCATCGCCAGAACAAGTTACAGACAACTGCTACGCCACTTACATCAGGGGAAAGCAGTCAGAAAGAAGCGAGACCACTGGCAAGTCCAGGAGCTGGGGCATGAACAGCTGACATGCCACAGCAAAAGCGTTCACCAACCCGGTTGTTTCGTGTGTGTGCTCCCCCTGCCTCCCCCTTCCCCCGTGAATCCAAGCAATTGTCACGCTGGAAAGGGCTGCCCTGCCAGGGCTACCCGTGCGCCCCAGCTACTTTACAGGAAACTGGAGACGTAAAGCATCTGCTTGTTCATTTCGTGTTGTTTTTGTGAGGCCAGGGGAGCTCACCTGAGTCCACAAGGAAGCCGAGAATGCCAGCCTGCCTGCCACACGAACCTTAGCATAATAAGCCCTTCAAGGCCCGTATGCACACAGGTGAAAAACAGAATTCAGCGCAATTCCATGCAACGACCCTTTAAATTCAGGGACCCACAAAGCTTGGGGTGGAAGAAGGGACCCACTTGAGCTTCAGAGTACTGGCCCAGGATGGGCATCCCAGAACTCAGTTGTTCCTAAGACTGTGGGAGACAGCTCTAGGGTGTGCATCAGCGACAGAATGACAGGCTATTCAAATGAATACACACAAATGCAGCACTTGAAAATCCAGAGGTAAATGGAGACCTGTGAGAAGTGGCATCCTCAAACAGTATCTTCAGCCCTTTCATTTTGTTTAAGTTATTTACCAAATAAAGGTCTTCTCCTTCTCCTTATGAAGAAAACAAACAAACAAACAAACAAAAACAACAGCAAGATCACCACCAAATACTGTTATTTCCTCCCACAGAACAAAAACCACTGTGCTAGATGCCTAAGAGCCACAGGCTCCTGAGTCTCAATCACCAACGAGACAGACGGGGAGGAAGATGGACAGCCTTTTCAAACAGCTGGACTTTGGCAGAGCCTACCATGGTCAAAGGTCTGGCTCTAGGGGTCAGGGATCAGTAGGCCAAGTTCCTCCTGGGATGAGAGTGGGGCTGGGCTCTGCTGGAAGATGTCAAGGACCTGGGAGATATGCAAGCAACACAGGCTGCAGGAGGATGCTAGAGCTGAAGGGTCATGACAGAACACGGTCTCCTGGAGTGAACCCATATAGGCACCATGGTGAGGCCCATACAAGGGCAGCAGGGAATGTGTTGGGGAGGGAATACTCGGTCTCTTGCTGATTCTACCTCTTTTTGGATGCCCAGGGCCAGACCGTGCAGCTATGGCCTGCTTCTGGGATGTTACTCTACACTGAGTGGCTGACTTGGCTGGCTGGCCCTTTGGACTCTAGGCCACAATTGGCCCTCCAGTGCTCAGGGGAGGCCAGTGATGGACTGTCTCATCCACCTACCCCTGGGATAGTTTCTTCCAAGCACCATTGCCATAAGAGTTGTTATGTCTTGGTTTTCAACTGAGTTTGTAGTGGGGTAGTCTGAGTGGTAAACACTTAGTCTAGAAAGGTTTAATGTCCTGATGCTGTCTACAGAAAAGAGCCACTGACAGAAAGGCCCAGAGTTATGACAATGATGCATCTCATCTCTTAGGTAGAGGCCAGGGAGGAAAATAACATTCCTGGCCATAGTTTGGGGCCCAGGAGCTAATGGAATGGGAGAACATAGGAAATGAAATGAGTAACTGCTGTTGGAGAAACTTGGGGTCTATGAGAGGGTAAGACCCCTGAACTAATGTTCCCTTCTAGGCGCCAGGTCTACTCATATATCCAAACTACAGAGAAGTTGTCATCCTACAGCAATCATGATTGTCATTTCTTGTCAATCCTGAAGCTACCCTGGGCAGACAAGCCTTGAAGAAGGATTAATCCAACCAACGAGCTTAAAACTCACAGCCAGAAGACAATACCTGAGCCTGTCCATAGCCTCCCACTTTCTTCTGGAAGTAAAATTAGACTTTTAGAACCTGGGGCGGGCCTGTCTAATTTTGTTTAGGAAGGAAAGTAGCTGTGATATGAGAGGTTTAATGAGGTTAGAAATTGAGAAGGAAGTGGACTGGGAATAGATTATCATGGGAAATAAAGGCAGCCACCAGAGATAATAACATTGATATCAAATATCAGGCTTCTAAACCAAATATCTATAATCCACAGGCGCTTACTGGGGGCACATTTATTCAAAACCCATGGTTGAACAACTGATGTTATAACTTTATCCATCATCATTCTGTGTCTCTAGGGGAAGACGTTGTCACTGAGGGACTCCATTGGAAGTTGGGAGTATGTGGGGTCCTTTTGGTTATGCCATTCTGACAGCTCTGGGGTACCCCAACCTCCACTTGACTATAGCTAGTAACTGGGCCTCCCTGAAGGCCTAGCACTGTACTAGGATCACACACCAGGGAAGAGCTTCTCCCCTTTGGCTGTGACCCTGAGGATATAAGTCATCAGAAGGTGAGTCTGAGGCCACAGGGTAAAATCTGAGGTGTGGCTACCTAACAGTGGCATCCTCCAGCAGAGGCATGGGCAAGTGTGGTGGTTTGGGAATCTGGCGATCTGCTCGTTCTGCCCTGGAGATCTGACATGGACATCTGAGCCAACACGACAGAAAATCAGGGTAGTGGTGAAGGGCAGGAAAGTGATGTTCATCAGTATGCCAAGTGCCAAAAAGTGTTGCTTAAAAATGTCCATTAACGAGTGACTCTGACACCACTTGGCATCTGTGGCCTGTAGGCCACGGTTTCAGAATTACCATGACAGAGACACTAAGGACTTGTGCCCTCATTAGAGGATGGTGAGAGACACAGAAGAGGCAGCCACACCTCAGAGATACCCTGAAGCTGCCAGGACCTGGGCAAGGGAGGTACAGCTTGGGGCCTGCAGCATCTTGACTTTGGGCTGCTGGGTTCCAGTATGGGGAGTACATCAGCTGCTGACGTCAGGGCTCAGCATGGGGCCAGTGTTTAGACCAGCCATACAGTACTGCTTTGTTAGGAAAACACAATATGTGCCTCCTACCAAAAGGGAGTCACTTGCTTCTTTGAAAGAGCTGAATACAGTTGCATGTTTGCTAGCAGTTGCTAAATATTAGCAACAGGAAAGCTGCCCTTCATAGCCAGCCTGTTCTAAGCCATTGTCAATGCAGCTCTCTTGCCTCACAGCTATGCCAAGGGGATAGCCTGATTATTTGTGTTTTTTTTTTTTTTTTTTTTTTTTTTTTCAGGCAAGGAAAGAGGCTTAAAGAGTCGCTGGCAGCCTGAGGTCCTTGTGGCCTGTGGTCACCCCTGATGGGGGCTGAAGGCAAAAACCACAGTTTGTGTACAGTCTGGTTCCTGGTGGGGTAGAGGTAAGTACAGAAAAGAAAATCATTACAGAATGTTTAGCTTCTGACTCTGGCTGCCCCTGTGAAAAAAGCTGAAGAATCAGAACCCACAGTTAAACTGCATTCAAATGACCATGTGTAAGCTACAAGGGCACGCCTCTCACCTTTTCTGTCCTACTTGGGTTTGCCCTGACAATTTTCCTTTTCTTTTTTAAGACAGGATATCACTATGCAGCCCAAGTTGGCCTACTGCCTCAGCCACACAAACACTGAGATTACATGTGTAGCCAGGCGTTGGTGGCACATGCCTTTAATCCCAGCACTTGGGAGGCAGAGGCAGATGGATGTCTGAGTTTGGGGCCAGGGTGAGTTCCAGGACAGCCAAGGCTACAGAGAGAAACACTGTCTCAAAAAACCAAAAACCAAATCAAACCATCCAAACAACAACATCGATAAAACCATGGCTGGCTTCACCCTGCCAGTTTCTGATACCCACTCCTGCCAGCACCACTCACCTCTCTGGTGTGGAACCTAGCAGAGGCCTGTGACACGTCAGATTCTAAAGAATGTGCCAGAGTATGTGTTCACTGTCGCTCACAAGGGGAAGCAAGGTGCCTCCTTGTATCAGCAAGTAAGGATGTGCAAGCATGCATATGTACACATCTATAGGGAAGCCCTACCACCCAGGAACCGCTCCTCCCTCACTGACCCCCTACCCCCCCAAAAAAACCAGCAGGGCACTTCCCAAAGCTGATGATAATCAACAACAAGAGAACTCAGCAAGCGCCCAGGCACAAGGTCACTGCCCGTAGCTGTGGGCTCTGAGCCCATTCCAGATATTTTTCCCATCATGGATTTCTGTAATGCATCAGATGCTATTCTTAGCGCCCCATATATAAGGCCATCGCCTTCAGGACAACACTGGCTTAGCTCCAGTGACCAGCTCTATATAACCCACGGCTGAGGCTTGAGGTCTCATTATCTGGCTCAGAAGCGTCTGCTCAACTCCTTTCTGCCACGTACCCTGGAGATCCTACCTGAGGCTGCCTACAGTCACTCCTCTCCTGCCCTGAGATAGGGACCACCCCATAGGTCTCCATTCAGGTACTCCCACCTAGAGAGACCCTAAAGTCAGAAGGCAGAGGGTCTGTGGGTATTTATGGCCAGTGGTGGTTCTCCATGCACAGAAGGGAAGTGGATCCTGCCTAGGCCACCACAAGATAATAGGACCCACCTGGAGGGATAAGGGGCTACTCAGCCTAGCAACCATCTCCACAGTAAGCTCTGAAAGGGAAGGACACACAGCTGCCATTCGTAGGGGCATCCATTAGGCGCAGCTCTCTCTTCTTTGGCCTGTCCAAACTGGGGCACTCAATGGCTTCATCCAGGAGCCAGACAGCCAACTCTACACATGAATGGTGGTATTCCTGAGCCAACGCCTCCTGCTATGTGTAGGAGGTACACAGTGGAGTCCTTGTGTTTCAGAAATTGTGCCTGGGCCTCTCTCAGGACACCCTCACTCAACACTGGCTCTGTTGCTGAGCTCTGAGGTGGGGATCAGGTAATGCCCAGAACAGAAATGCTCACATTCCCTTTCTGTACACTGCCATTTAGCCCACCTGGGCTGTCATCTGCCACCTACTACCCAGGTCCTTGACGTCCCTCACCTCCCTGCTAATCATATTCCCCCACTCACAACAGGAGGTTCCTGCCCTAAGAGGCTTTGCCTGCTAATGAAGCTGGTGAGCAAGAAATATCTTGGGGTTGTCTGGGTCCCAGGAAGTATCTGCACCTCCACCTTTAGACCCCATGTTTCCTGCCCAGTGGGTTTCTGAATATTAAGTCCAACAGGTGACCATAAAGAAGAAAACAGGGTGCCAGGAAGCCTACCAGGCCTGGAACCCAGAGGTGACCAACTCAGAGACCAATCACCAAAGTCCTTGAACATTGTGCTGTTTTGTTTTGTTTTTAAATTACTGGTGTAGGAGGGCCTAGCCAGTACAGGTTGTGTCATCCCTGGGAAGAAGGTATTGAGTTGTATAAGAAAGCAGGCTGAGCAAGCCATAGGGCGCAAGCCAGTAAACAGCACCCTTCATGGCATCTGCCTTAGTTTCTGCCTCTAGATTCCTACCCCGAG